CAAGGCAACCAGCCTCCAGCCAGGTCTGAAGCAGAGCTCGGTTGCAGAAAGCCGAAACCAAACCAAGGCCTTAGTTGGGGCCCCAGCAGCTGAGGTACATGACGGTCCTCATCCCCTCCTCGGCCTTGTCCGCCCGCCTCGTCTCCGCCGGCGCCAGCTTCTTGGCCTGCACGAGGCTGCTGCGCACGTTCGCCTTGGCGGCCCGGTGGACGGACCGCAGCGCGTAGTTCCAGCGGCAGAGGCCCGCCTGGTCCTTGAGCGCCTCCACCGCCCCGACGCTCATCGCCACCATCCACGACGCCTTCGCTGCAGCGGCCATCTGTCTCCTGGTCTTCTTCTCGGGCTCTCGGCGCCTGGCCTGTCGAGCTTGCTTGGTGATTGATTCTCGCTGTGATCAGAGTTGGAGTGTTGTGTTGAGGTGCAGGGAAGAGGGGGTGGGTGTGGGTTAATATACTCGCGGTGGCCGGGAGGGACGGGCGAAAACAGGTGGCCGCGGACGTTGGTTTTCCATGATACCGGGGGCTCTCCGCTCCGGCGCTCCGGTTGGCAGTGGACCACTAGTGGTAGCCCAGGTCGATCTCGTCCCAGCCCAGCGCTGGCGCCCGTCCCCATCCCCTCGCCTTGTTTATTTCGCTGCGAAAGCGGCCTGTCTGCTGTGGCCTGTGACATTGCTACTGGACCACTGTGGCAAGGACGCGTGCCGCCGCGGCTGCAGATAGGAGTGCCACGAAGCACTGTTGCAGAGCTGATTCACCTTGCGGATCCCGAGGTACGCAGCACGTGATCGGCGCGTGTGGGCAGACCACCTCGCTCGGCATCGCAGTCGGCACTCGGACGGTCGGCATGGAGCTAGTAGTCCGTACTAGAGTATAGTAGTAGCTTTTACGGTTTTACGGAGTACCTATCAAGTTAGGGCTCATTTTGTCTGATTTAGCGCCTGTTAGGTTCCCGGCTAAAGTGTAGCTACTAAAATTAATGACTAAACTTTAGTTACTCGTTCTATTGACGAAAAGTAACTAAAGACCGTTAAGGCAGTTTAATAAAGACCAAACTACCTCTAATGAATGCTCAAATCAGGGTGCGGGACCAGCAATAATAAGGTGCAGCCTTGTCCACGAGACATTTTAGCCCACTTTTAGCTACTCTTGGGTGACTAATTTGACTAAACTACTTTAATCTCTTTTAGTCAGTTTGTTTGGTAATTTATTAGCTAAAGTGCTAAACTTTAGCGAGGAACCAAACAGGCTCTTAAGTCTCTGAACTAAACTTTAGTCTAGGAACTAAACTTTAGTATGTTTGGTTTAGGTGACTAAAAAAGACTAGAACTGTAAAAAAAGATCAAAACGTCTCTATTATTTGTCTAAGATCTTTGCTGTTGCCACATCAACGAGGGGCATGGGTGTTTTTTGGCCCTTTAGTCACCTCTTTGGTGACCGTCATCTCTTTGGTGATTAGATGACTAAACCTATTTAGTCACTTTTTAGTAAAACAAAATGACTAAAAGGAATTAAAGTGAGGTGACTAAACTTTAGTCACCCCAAACCAAATAGGCCCTTAGTAATAGGCTACACTGATCTTTTCAATTAGGGAGCAAACCAGCTAGGCAAGCTTTACAACAAACGAATTTATTTCAGCAGCAAGAAGCTGCAAGCAGCCGAACAGACTGTATGTTTACATGACTCAGTGGATGCAAGAGAGGGCACCATCTGGAATGGGAACTGTAAAAGCACGCAGGCTCAAAAGATGAATCATGAGGAACAAAGGCAGAGAATGCCTGTCTAGCCAGAGCATCAGCCGTAGCGTTGAGGGTCCTATTGATTTTACAGATCTTTGCTTGGCGTCGACCTAAGCGGTTGGTGAACATCTGTGTGAAGGATTTGATCCTCCAGTCTGAAGGATAACTCTGATCCACTGCATTGAGAAAATGGACTAACTGCTGACAATCTGATAAAAAGGTGGTGTTGTTAAAGTTGAGGAGGTCGCTGATTGTTGCTGCGAGTGCTAGAGCAGCTGCCTCCGCCATGAGCACCGAGTGAACACCTGAGACGCGTGCCCTGATATAGGCTGTCTGTGTTGGTTGTACCTGCGGATTGACAAAGAATACTCCAAGCCCTGCCGGTCTACGAGGCATAGCCGGTTGATCAGGTAGCAAGGAGGCATCAACATAGCATCTTATACCTGCAATTAGAGCCGGCACCTGAATGGTGTACCTGTCCATCTGGGCAGCAGCACATTACTGTGTCTGGCGCTCGGGCTGAGGTGTTGCTGCAGAAATCTGCGTCCCCTGGATTGAAGTGGCGCCTTGCCGTGGTAGCTGATCATGCCCCGCCTGCTGTGAAGCAGCAGTTTGGCCACCAGCTGTTGTTGGGATCTGTGTTAAATCCACTGTTGGCACCTGCAATGCAAGTTTGAGTTGGCCCATGTGCAGCCATATTAGTTTTTTTTTCGATCCAGTCATGTTAGCTTTACAATCAACAGAACATGATAAACGGGACAGTAGTGGGCACATGGTGATCCGACAAGACATCTTCGCTCATAACCCGTTGCATCCACGAAACTTCTTGCTTTCTTAGCTAGGGAAAAAGTAGTCGAGTAGTTAATTCTTTTTTAACGCGCTAGATCACATGGGGGCTTAAGTGCAGATTGTTCCCACGTGCTAAGGAGTTCGAATCACTTGAACTTATAACTAGTAGAAGCTAAAAAAATTATTCTAGTTCATCAAAACATGTAGATTAGATAGATGAATTGGTTTTTTAATACATACCTCGACTAACTATAGTCTGTTAGGTTGGCAAACCTAGCTACTTGGGATTAATATATGGAGTTTTAGTAACACAATTGCTTTTTAGTTTTTCCTTCTGAAAACTTTGTTGTCTTTATGGCTCAAAACTTTGTTTTTGAGATTCTCTAGACCGTTATACGTCTGCTTGTAATAATGGACAGCCATATGCATTAGTCGATGCAGAAGCTGGGATATTAATATATTTCCTTTTCTAAAATGTGTCCATAAATTTTTTATTTCGGGAATGCAAACACCACCCTATTAAACCTAGCTAATGAGACTAAACCTAACTAATGGGATCAATGGGTATCTATAAAACTTTTGATTTGAGATGCAAACATCACTTAAAAAAGTTTAGTTGGCCAAACTTTATCTGTCTAATTTTTAGTTTGAATTAATATATGCTAGTCTAGAAAATCCAAATAGACCCTGATCGTAAGGGCTTGGTTCGGTAGAATTCTCCCATAGCTTCACAGAGTTGTTTTTCAGCTTCTCTTACTAAATAGGTTTTGATGAAATAATTTCTTTCTAAAAGTTGTTTTTTCCAGCTTCTCTCATATGCATAGTTCTCAGTTTTTTTTGGCTATCTTCCCTATGAGATTGTTTTACCAAATGTTTTTATAAATAACTTTAGCTTTACTGGTAAAGTTGCTTTATGAAACCGAAACTCAAAAACTACTTAACTAGAGCTGTATGTGCTAAATCGCTCGGATTCTGTTGAGGGGTCGTTTGGATCCTTTCATTTTGGAGGAATTGAAATCTACATAATGGACTAGGATATTTGGCTTGAAATTTGATATTACATAACATTCTCAAGCTCACAAATAAGTCTATCTCAAATTCATAGGGTGGAAGATAAAAATGGATTCTATAGATCACTATATACAAATATATTCCATATATAACTATATTAGCTTAATTAATCTATGTCTAAATTATAATTATTAAAATGAATTTAATTCAAGGATTCAAACGGGTCCTAAGTCATGAAACTGACCCAAGTAACGGGAGACGGGCAGGGGAACTGTGTAGCCTGTAGCCCGTGTAGGGCGTGGCTTTCAGCCTTTCAGGTTTCCACGTCCCACGGCTGCGTATCCGTTCGAGTTCGCTGATGCCTTGTTTACGACAAAATCCAATCCCTATTCGAAGGTACCTTACCTATGCCTATGACTTGCAGCGTGTTCGCAGTGACAAGAAATGGTTCACACAAACGGAATACATCGGGTTTGCAAATTGTTACGGTGGTGCAGTGTGTGAATCCTGAATCGTACTTGATCGTTTCCTAATTGAGTATATGGACTATGGATTTGTCAAACTGTCCATGGTGGTGCCTCAAGTTGTGCGGTCTGGTGTCGTTAGGCAGGTGGTTGTGTTTGAGTTGTTTTAGTAGGGTCGTTTTGATCAGGTTGGAGTAAGTAGTGGCGTGAGTTGTGATAGTTGTCCGGTGGATGTATCAAAGTCGTGTTAGGATGAGTGAAACACTCTCCTCGGTTGTATAGTTTTTGACTCAATTTTCATTTAAAAAACTGGGAGGACACTTCTTTTCTTCTCTTGCTTCGTCTAATAAAAATCATGGCAAAGCTTTTGCTGCTCTTTCTTAAAAAAAAATCTGTCAAACTGATGCGGAGACTCTGCTGTCGTCTCCGTCTTTCTATCACACACACTTTTATCCCAGAACTTGAGAGGCCATGATTAGTTTTCTAAACAAGAGAAGGGTAGGACGAATCGAACAAGGCCTGATCCGCGAAGTCCGGAAACTGAATTCGGTACTACACCACCTGGTTCCATGCTTGTCACTTTGTCAGGTAATAAGGGCCTCTGCTGAACATGAAACCGTGATCCCATCAGGCATCAGCATATGAGATGGTGGTGTAAATAGCTTGGTGCTGTCAGCTGTCATGAAAGAGGACAGTCCAGGAATTCAGATTATCATGCTTGCCATGACTGATTGCTCTGTCTAGATCTCACGGATAACTTGTCATGAACTCAAAGCTCTTCCAGATTTCACGCCAGTACGTACAGTGTACAGAACAGAATCAGAATGGTCACTCAATCGTACACTGTGGAATACTCGAATCAAGTGGCAGAACTTTTCATCACCATCGTCGTCATATATACTCTACATATCTACAATCAGGGGGAGCAACCGGCAAGGTCCCAAGCCCAGCTCGGTCGCTGAAGAACAAGACGAACATCACCGTCGTCCAACTATGGCTAGCTAGTTAGGTTCCCAGCAGCTGAGGTACATGACGGTCCTCATCCCCTCCTCCGCGGCCTTGTCCACCCGCCTCTTCTTCTCCGCCGCCGGGGCCAGCTTCTTGGCCTGCGCGGCGAAGCTGCTGCGCACGTTGGCCTTGGCGGTCCGGTGGATGCATCGCAGCGCGTAGTTCCAGCGGCAGAGGCCCGCCTGGTCCTTGAGCGCCTCCACGGCGCCCACGCTCATTGCCACCATCCACGACGCCTTGGCTGCACCTGCCATCTCCTGATGGTCTGGTCTTCCTCCTTCTCCCTCGAGAGCGCGGTCACTGATCGTTTGTAGCAAGTGAGGTTGCTTGATGCCGTGTTGAGGTGGAGAGGCGGGTCGGGGCAGGTTGGTTTATATGTACCGGCGGGCGGCGGGAGGCCGGGACGGGGCGGTGGCGGAAACGGGTGGGCGCGGACCCTGGTTTTCCTGGATACCGGGGCTCTCGCTCACTGCCGCTGCGGCTCGCTTTCTTGCGCGCCGGCCCAGTGGGTCGCCCACTTGACTTGTCGTCTTGTTTATTCGCGGTGGTTCGTCCTGTCCTCCGGCCTCCGCGTCGTGCGCAGAGACAGGGACGCGTGCCGCGCAAACGCAGATCACCGTCATCATCTTTGCATTGTACCTGGACTGTTTGGGATTAGAGAATAGAGATGGGCACACTTCGCGGCGGTAGTAGTTTTATCAGATCTGTGGTGGCCGGCTGTGCATTGTCTAGCTTGTAGCGATCTAATAATGAAATCCATCGCGTGGAACGATGAGCAAGATTATATGGATCAATCGATGCAGCCCCTGTTCGCTTGGGATTGTTTGGGTGATAAGTCATGACTGAAAATATTGTTGGCTAATTTGGTGTGAGAGAAAAATATTATTCGTTGGCTTAAAAAAGTATGGTTTATAAGCTAAATAAACCCAGACGAGCAGGATATAGCTGCAGATTGTTATTGTTACCGCACAAGTGCACAACACGGTGTTGGACCGAGCAGGGCCTGTAGAGTGTGAAACAGTGAGAGTGACGTTTTTGGCATAATCAGACGCTAACGCAACTTTTACATGCATGAATGTTCACCGTGGTGTGATTTGTGTGACCCTGTACCGTGATACTGGCTCATATCATATCGTCTCGTTCTTACGCCAAAATAAAAATATCATGTCGTCCATCAATATGTTTCAACAACTAAACAAGATTTTACGCTTCGATTCCCGTGCAACTTTGGTCCGCCGAACATTTTTTTTTTTTTTTTACAAACAGCTCTGGTCCAAAGATCAAAACAACTAAACAGAGACCGACCATGCAATCACCCAACACCGCGAGTGGCTGAGGCGTCGTCCCCACCCCTGCACCGGAGGGGGACGGAACGGATGGGCGCGAGCGATGGTTTTCCTGCATACCGGCAACGAGGGCTTGCTCGGCTGATTGGCTGAACTCGTCTCGTCCCGCGTCGCTTGCAGTTGCAGAGATAGAAACGGATGCCACTCCCCTGCCCAACCTCTGACCTCTGTATCTAGACACTGTTTGCGCGAGAGAGTGGGCACGGCCGCGCGGAACAGTGACCACCCTTCGATTCTCAATTTGGTGCCAGTAGCAGCAGCAAGTTTCAGTAAACAGGATTTGGTGCTAGTAGAGATTTCAGATTTACTACTTCCAAACTACTAGTACAGCTGACGCGTGGTTAGCTGTTTGTAGGAAGGAGCACAAAGTAGGAACTATAACCAAACTGAAATGGAGCCATGGAGACCCACTTTGCATAAGCACAGTTTGTCCCTGAACCTCGGAGACCATGATTAGTTTTCTCTTCGACGATGATCACGGTTGAGTAACGTGGACTGCAAAATCTTGATGCAGAGGGGCCTGAAATTGAACTCTGATGAACAGCAAGAAATGAGCTGAAGACAGTGTCTCGTTGTATCAATTTTGTCCTCTAAGAGGTACTCCTAAACTGCTGTCACGGAATAGTAGATCTCAGAACCTGAAATTGCCGTTACCGATCGTTCTGCTTGAGCACATGGTGGTACGAACAACACCGAATTCTTGTTTTGAACCCAAAGAATCAAAATTCCGATGCAGATCAGAACCATTCATATTACTCGTGTGAAGTAAAAGAACTTTTCGTCATCATCATGATCCTACTGGACCTATTTCCTACTTTATATTACAATCGCAGGAGCCAACGAGCCAGGTCTTAACCCAGGCCCCGGTTGATGCCCTGCAAGCCGAGACAGAGACGCTGAACTCAACACTGAAGCCTACTTCTAGTTTGGGCCCCAGCAGCTGAGGTACATGATGGTCCTCATCCCCTCCTCGGCCTTGTCCGCCCGTCTCTTCTCCGCCAGCGCCAGCTTCTTCTTGGCCTGCGCGAAGCTGGGAGCGTTGGCCTTGGCGGCCTGGTGGATGGACCGCAGCGCGTAGTTCCAGCTGCAGAGGCCCGCCTGGTCCTTGAGCGCCTCCACCGCACCCACGCTCATCGCCACCATCCACGACGCCTTCGCTGCAGCGGCCATGTCTTGCTAGAGAGTGACTTCTGGTTGGTGATCGGTGCAGTTGCTGTGACTGAGTGAGATTGTTGTGTGTGTTGGGGTGGAGAGGCGAGGTGTGGCGGGTGGGGTTATATATACCGGAGGCAGGACTGCAAACAAGCGGCCGCGGGTGCTGGTTTTCCTGGATACCGGGGGCCCTCGTTCCGCACCACTGATTGCCTCACCTATCTCGTTCTCGTCGTCTTGTTTATTCGCGGCAGAAACGGCCGGTCTTCCGCGTCGCCGGCACAAACGAGGAAGAGCGTCCGCGCAACCGTTTCCGCCACAGCATACGATGCATCTTATCTGTATCAGGACTGTTTGGACTAGAGATTGACTGTACAGTTTGGTCTACCAATTACAGTACGAAGGAATCAAGCAAAGTAGATAATTTTTTTTATGTTTTATTATCCTACCAAGTGGTGGCCGCCCGTGCGTTGTCAGCGAACATGAAGAGGGAGGGAACTGCCAGATCTAGGACACTCACTCGAGGCGTCCAGCCGTCCAGGAATCTTCTCGCTTTCTTGATGAACGGCAGTAACCAGTAAGCTAATCCGTTTCTACGCACCGAGTCGCATGGGTTAGCTGCAGTGGTTACCGCGTGCTTTTGTAGCAGCAGTGAGAAGAGCCCGAGGCCGAGAGCGACGTAACCAGACCGCAGACGCTCTAGGACCTGGTTTCCAGGATATCATGGGCTGAGCGATTGCTGATGCATGCAGTTTATGTGGGGGGAGATGGTATTTGAACATACGCTGTGCTGTGGTGGTCTGTGAGACTCTGACTCAGCTTCTCTGCAGCTACATCAACCTTACGTTCAGTATTGGGCTATTGGCGCTTCTTCATCCATCTCATTTGTCTTCCATTAACCCTTTTCGAGAGCCAAACGCTATTACAAATGAATGAACTTGCTTTTGCAGTTGCAGGTTTCATCAACCCGTCAAGATGCCCTCTAAACTTCTTCAGCAGGTTGTTTGGGGGTAGAAAGTACTAGAAACTGTCAAACTGGAATGGAGACCGTGCTGTTACTGTTACTATGCTTCGTCACAAGATAAACGCCGCTATTCCCTAAATAAAACGTTGGAGCTCAGACCTGAGATTAAGCTAACCTCTGATCATGAGTTAGGCTGTCAAAGATTTGTTGCTATCATTTTGCTTCAAAGGGTAATTAAGGAGCGGGGTTCAGAACCGGAGATTATTACCATCTCAAATCTGCCATGATCCATTGTTGTGCCGTAGCACATGGAAGCAACGAACCACACAAAGCTCTTGTTGAGTTGTTGTGAGCGCAGAGAGATCGAGGAGAGCACAGAAGGCAGTTTGTTTCAAAAAATAACAGAAAGCAGAAGCATTCATTCATATACTCAAATGAAGTAACAGAACTTTTCATCATCATCATCGTGGTCATATATTTACAACCAGGGGATCGATCTGGGTTTCTGAAAGCTGGAACAGAGCTAGAGGACCTATGCAATGAAACTATACCTAATAATTAATTAGGGCCCCAGCAGCTGAGGTACATGACAGTCCTCATCCCCTCCTCCGCGGCCTTGTCCGCCCGCCTCCTCTCCGCCGGCGCCGGCGCCAGCTTCTTGGCCTGCGCGAAGCTGGGAGCGTTGGCCTTGGCGGTCCGGTGGAGGGACCGCAGCGCGTAGTTCCAGCGGCAGAGGCCCGCCTGGTCCTTGAGCGCCTCCACCGCGCCCACGCTCATGGCCACCATCCACGATGCCTTGGCTGCGCCCGCCATGTCCTCCTGTTTGGCTATTGGCTTGAGAGGATCGCTCGCTGATCGTTGTAGACTTGTAGTCTTGTACTGAGTTGCGTGAAAGAATCGTGATGCTGTGTTGTTGATGCTAGGCGAGTGGGGTGGGGTGGGTTAATATACCGGGTCAGGGCCGGCTGCGACGGGGCGAAACAGGCGGCCGCGCACGCTGGTTTTCCAGCAAACCGGGGGGCTTCGGTTCAGGCGCCGCTGTCCGCATCCACACACCTCACTCCCTCGACCTGCCGTTGTTTTTCTTCTGCACCGGCCCAGCAGCTCGCCCATATCCCGTAACGGGCTAGCTACTGGTACATGGGCTGCTGCATGCGATCGAGCCGCTTCCGTCGCAATCGAAGGCTTCTTCCTGGAGACCCTCTAGTCTGATGCTGGGCCCTCGTCGCCAGAGCATATGGTCCGAATTTTTTATTTTTAGCCTTTTTTTTTGAAAAATTTTTAGAAATAAGGTAAGATTTCAAAATCTGGACCCTTAGCTCGGCGCCATCGTTGCTGGCGCCGAGCTTACATGTCTCGGCGCCAGCGTGGCGTCAAGCTCTTGGGCTCGAAGTAGACGGGGTGATGACTTGGCAGGCAGCTCGGCGCCAGTAACCCTGGCGCCGAGCTCGGCGCCGTAGATCTTGGCGTCGAGCTCGGCGCCTGAGGATTCTGGCGCCAAGCTTTGTCTTATATGGGCCCCAATTCTTTCTCTCTTCTCTCTCTCTCTCTCTCTCTCCTCCTCCTCCTGAGAAAGCAAGTAACAGCCGCCGCGCGCCGCGTCTCTCTCCGCCCCGACCGCTCGCGCCCTCGCCCTCGCCATGACCTCGCCTTGCCCGACGTGCAGCTCGCGCTTGCGGTCGCCTTGGCCGTGCCCCGCCGCGCCGGCGCCGTGCCCGGCCTCGTCCACCGTGCCTTATTTTTCTACGTTAAGTTGCATACCAATACATTATGCGTTAGAGATATCTATTTTAGGTAGTGCCACCTTCTAGCCGTAGCATCCTTATAATACGTTAGATTGTTGTACAAAAGAACAAAAAACCTGTTGCTATCTCTGTTGAAGTATTTTCATCGAGAACTTTATTGCGTGGCAATACCCTCAAATGCTCCGTTGAAGACATTGAACGCTTTAAATGCGAGAGTGGGGTGACGACACGCGCGTAGCTACCTAGACGTAAGATTCAAAATATTATTTCAAACATATTATTAATACGTTAGATTCTTTCGATTAACATAATTTTGCACAATGTAGAGGTCATCACGTCATTACCACTGTGCGTCGCGGTGCTTTTCGTTGTGATTGCAGGACAGACACGATGCAAGGCGTGTACGTTCCTCCCGCATGCAAAGGAGGCTTAGGTTCCTCTAGCCAAGTAGCTACAGGGGACGACGACGAGGACGACGACGACGTGGACCAGAGGCACGAGGAGCTTGGCCCCTCTCAGCTTCAGGACGCTCCATCGACTCAGCCTACACAGCCCCCAGGCACTAGACGACGTCGTTCACCTGACCCTTACACTCCAGATACCAACGTTCTTGGTCACAAGGGTAAGGGTAATGCTAGAAGGTAATGAGAATTTGTGATAGATGTTAGTATGTACTATTATAGATTTTGTAGTTACTTTCCTGTAACTATTTAGGACTATATGAATATTGTGGACTGTTTGGACTATTCGTGGCATGTTATGTTGTTTGTGATGTTCGTTGTGGTTGCATTGTGCTCTTTGAACGATTAATAGATGGAGGTCGTCGTTTTTTCAAAAGTCCGCGAGCATGGGTAATTGCTATTACTATTTATTTTTTCAATATGTTCCACTTCTATACAGCTTACGGGACATACTTATTGTAGTCTTTCTTGATCGAAGAAAACCGTGGGTTCACTAGGTGGCTCGCTCAGTCTGCCAGTGTCGTCCTCAGCCTCCTCCACCTGTAAGCCCGCATCTGCTAGAGCGATGAACTCGCTCAGTCTGCCAATGTCTTCCTTAGCCTTGTGCCTCTCATCAGACAATACAATCGGTGATTAAACGGTGCGACCAGCTCACGTTCTGTGCTCATCTAATTTCTTTTCCTTATAACTTGCACAAGCCACCTCTCCGTCATGGTTCTCGCTGCATCTAATCCATTCATGTATAAAATACAATCAGTTAGCAACACGATTATAATACATTTAAAATCAGGCAACGAAAAAAAGACTTTCAAGCTCTCACTGGTACATAATGAAACAACATGTTCATTCAAGACCTGCATCTGTACTCTTGTCTTCTCCCTTGCCTCATTGCTTGCACTCTCCTCCTCTAACACCCTCAGTTTGTCCAATCCCTATTTGTCAAGCCCAACATCGATCAGGTTACGAATACCGCGCTGTTCAGCAAACTCACACATCTTATCTTTGTGATGTTTAACGAATAGGTTGACGTAGTCAGGTCCATATCCCCTCTTCCGTGCAATTACTTGTCTCCCCTTCAGTTCATCTAAGAACTTAGCTTTACCATCATAACATTCTCACCTGTATTTTCTAGTGCTCTGTTCAAATGAAAAATTATATCATATATGTCTTAGCAAAAAAAAATTAAATACGATTTTATGTTTATCACAAAAATAACCAACCTCATCATAGTCAATCATATGACCGCAATAATGACATATTCCAAGCTCTGAAGGGATTAGACCGTAGTTGAATTTAACACCATATTCGCACTTGACTGGAGGTGCTTTGTAAATTAACCTTTCTTTTTTCTTTTCCTTTACCTTTGGTGGCTCCGACCATTGGTTCTTAGGACCATAGAGCCACTCTTTGAAACGACACTTCGTAAATCCATACACCTCAAAGAGGAGACATTAGTACACGCACACATAGAGCTAAATATTTAAACAGATACATTTTCTACGTACTTCGTGTTTGTTCGGACACACAAACTCCAACATATTCTTAGGGTTTATCACAGCTCGATCTACGCATTCACACAGATGAGGTTCCTCGAGTCGTCTAACTACGGCTAGGTGCTTCTCCTTAGCCGTCATTGACGAGGGGTTAGGGGGGTGGAACCCATCGCTTGAAGTTCTCACGTGGATGTCTTCCTCTAAATCAATCGTCGGAAAGGAGGTACCTAGGGTCAAACTTGTCTGCACCGTCGATCCACTGAAAGAAAAAGCACCTCTCATGGTCCTACACAACAAGATTTCAACAAAATATTAGTATCATACTTACACAAATAAAGAAAAAAAAAGATAGTGAAAACAATTTCTTACATTAAACGATTGCATGTGTAGAAGCAACGTGCCGCTGTGTCCGGATGTTTCGATTAAAACACGTGGGTCGGGAAACCACAGTCACGGTTAGGGACAGGGAGGTCAGGAGGGATGGGGGCATCTTTGCAAGACGCGTCGGAGTATAATTCTCGAGGACGATCCCGTTTTCACCAAAATTCCTTTCGATACATTTTTTGCATGTAACAAAATGGATGTAATTTAACAAACAAAAATAAAAACATCAAAAATTAATATCAATGAGAACCATAACTACAATATAACCAATTTCGTTTTAAGAACCGAAAGCAATTAGCATTAAACTCTAAACCTAGGATTTTTCATTTGATGCATAACAATGAACCCATAACATAACTACATGCGCTGCGGTTACCTAGGTTTGCTAGCTTTTTTACGCCTTGACATCATCCTACGGCTGTATAATACAAATATTGAGGGATAGAATAAAACACTAAGTAATGACGATTCTTAGGTTAAAAAATTGACTAATATACACCGAATCGATGCGAAAAAAATTAGGAGGGGAGCGATGATACCTTGCTCTCGAAGATCTACGGATCAAATCAAAGTTTCCAGGGTCCAATATACCGATTCGTGAGGTAGGGCGAAGTATGAAGAGAAAAAACAAGAGAGGGAGGAGAAAGAAAAGGAAGAATGCTCGAGCAAGAAGGTTAGGGCCGGAGTTAAAACACCACCTCGGCGCCATAGATCATGGCGTCAAGCTCTACGCTAATATCTACGGCGCCAAGCTCGACGCCAGGATCTACGGCGCTAAGCTTGGCGCCAGGGTTACTGACACCGAGCTGCCTGCCAAGTCACCGTCACGTTTGCGTCGAGCCCAAGAGCAACGCTGACGTTGAGACGTGTAAGCTCGACGCCAGCAATGATGGCGTCGAGCTAAGGGTCCAGATTTTAAAATCTTAACTTTAGGGACATATTTATGATTTTTTTTTTAAAAAAGAGCTAACAAATAAAAAATTCTGGCATATGATTGCATTGCAGCGTTATCCGCTCGCCCGATCCCGCGGCCGCGTCCTTCTCTTCCTCACCCTCTCCATCCGATCAGAGCACCAGAGTCCAGAGACCAGAGCATAGCAACGGAGGTGCTCTGCTCACGTGAGAAGGATCGATCCAGCTGCAGGTCCAGAGCTATGCAGCACATAACCAGCGCGTGCAAGACGAGTCACGCCTCGTGCGCAGCAGCAGCCGCGGCTCTGCCGCCCAGGCCATTGCTCAGACGAGCAGCCGCCGTCCCCTGCCGTCGTGTTGCAGGTCGAGACCCAGTGACCAACGGCGTCTCTGGCTGGCCGGAGCTGGAGCCAGATAATTTGATCCGTTGATGCTGTAATCAAGCAGCGACCTGATCACCTGATCTGATTGCAGCTAGAGATGCAGCCTCGAGACTGGCGGTCCGGAGGAGATGCCAGGAGGAGGACAAGCAGCAGCAGCAGCAGCAAGAAGAAGCGGCGACCGACGAGCAGGAGAAAAGGACCTTCCTGAGCCTGGAGGAGGCCGGGCTGGTGGAGATGTCCGGCCTCAGCACGCACGAGCGCTTCCTCTGCCGCCTCACCGTAAGTCCGCATGCTCCCACTCCCGTTCATGTCAGCTGCAGAGTAACGATTGGACGAGCATCGACGAGCAAGGATCATTTACAGGGCTGTGTTTTGCTGCTGCTGTGTTTGTTTTCAGATATCGTCACTGAACCTGCTGAGAGTGATATCGGAGCAGGAGGGCGTCCCGATCGAGGAGCTCAACGCCGGCCGCGTCTGCGACTGGTTCCTCAAGGACAAGCTCAAGAGGGAGCAGAACGTCGGCACCGCCGTCCTGCAGTGGGACGACCCTGGCTTCTAGTTCCACTTCCACTTTCATGTTCATCCTACGCAAAACCATTTCCAGACCCCTGAACGAAGACTACATGACAATGCCATTCTATGGACGACTTTGGTGGAGCAGAGTTTTCCGTGTCAGTGCCTTACTGCCTTTGCCGGATGCTCATGGTTGACGAAGGAGACGAGCTTGAAGGCATGTTCACCTGTTCAGTCTTCATCGTACCTGTATTCTCTAGTTGCATCAATTCATCACCATGTCTGAAGGGGCATTAGATTTGTGATACGATAATCATACGATACATCCATGGTTCAGGGCTTCAGGCCCTTTTTGGGTGAGCAACCAAAGCTGAAAATTTCACTTCAGTATTTAGCGAGCTGTACCAATCTCTGAGTATCTCAGTTTCAAGAATTCTGACTATAGAATGATAATTTCATGCGATTTCATCGGAACTTCGATTTGGATTCATCTTCGCAAAGTTTCTGTAGCGTTGGATAATTTCCCATGGGAAAAGAAGAGTACAGGCAAACGAACCGCCGAAGCCAAACACCCCAAACCAAAGACGCCCTGCCCGCTCATTTCGTCGAACACCTCTCCTTGCCGCCGCCGCCGCCGCCGTACGATGCGCCGCTTCTGCCACGTCCCTCGCGGCCGGCGGCCGGCCGCCGCGCCCCACGACCACCAGCCGCTCCCGCCGCCGGAGTGGATCGATCCGTACCCGGACCTCGCGGACCCGAGCCCGTACGCCTCCGCGTCGGCGGCCCCGCCCACGCCGTCGCCGTGGCTGCCCCGCGTGATCTCCCTCGTCCTCCGCTCCCCGCCGGCCACCCTCGCCGCCGACCTCCGCGCCTTCTGCAGGACCTTCCTCCTCCGCCTCTCCCCGGCCTTCGTCGCCGCCGCGCTCCGCTCCCCGCAGCTCACCCCGCACCCGCTCCCGTCGCTCCACTTCTTCCGCTCCCTGCCCAACGGCGCCGACCTCCTCGCGCACCCACAGCACCTCCTCAGCTGCTACGTCTCCCTCCTCCACTCCTTCGCGCGCTCCAGGGAGACCGCCAGCCCCAACACCGCCGGCCAGGCGCGGCAGCTCGTCGCAGATCTGCGCGCGCACGGGGACGCTGTCCTGAGGCACCTCGCGCCGGCGTCGTCGGCCTCGTTGATCCGCAGCCTCGCGGCGTTCGGACTCTCCGAGGAGCTGCTGTGGGCGTGGCAGGCCATGCGCCTCGCCGGCGTTGAGCCGTCCAGGCTCACCTACAACTGCCTGCTGGACGGCCTTGTCAACGCTGGCCTCCTTGACACTGCCATCAACGTGTTCGACGCAATGTCCACGGAAGATCGAGTGCGTCCCGACGTGGTTTCCTACAACATTCTCATCAAGGGGTACTGCCGCGCGGGGAGGACGCAGGATGCGATGGCACGGCTTGCGGATATGAGGGAACAGGCAGAGCTCGCGCCGGACAAGGTGACATACCTCACTCTCATGCAGCGCCATTACAGCGAGGGCACGTTTCCACAATGCATAGCACTGTTCCAAGAGATGGAAGAGAGGGGAATGGGGAAGGAGATACCTCAACATGCCTATGTGCTGGTGATCGGCGCCCTCAGCAAGGACGGGAAACCATTTGAGGCGCTGGCTGTGTTTGAGAGGATGTTGAAGCGAGGTTGCCCAGCCAATGCAGCCATGTACACCGCGCTCATTGACTCGATGGGTAAGTTCGGGAGGGAGAAAGAGGCAATGGCACTCTTTGAGAGGATGAAGGCCAGTGGAGTTGAGCTTGACACGGTCACATACGGTGTGGTTGTTAACTGCTTGTGCAGATTTGGCAATATGGATGAGGCACTTGCGTGCTTCAGGAGTTGTGTAGAGAAGGGTGTTGCAGTGAATGCCATTTTCTATACAAGCCTAATTGATGGCTTTGGAAAAGCTGGGATGGTTGACCAAGCAAAGGAGCTCTTCGAGGAGATGATTGCTAAAGGATTTGTGCCTGACTCGTATTGCTACAATGTTCTGATCGACGCATTAGTCAAAGCAGGACGAACAGACGACGCGTGTGCTTTCTACAAGAGAATGGAAGATGATGGCTGTGATCAAACAGTCTACACATATACCATTCTAATTGATGGTTTGTTCAAGGAACACAAGAATGAGGAGGCACTGAAGTTCTGGGACAGCATGATTGATAAGGGAATCACCCCAACAGCTGCAGCTTTCAGGGTCCTCGCCAATGGACTCTGCCTTTCTGGTAAATTCAGCCGTGCATGGAGGATATTGGATGAACTGGCTCCAATGGGTGTGATTCCTGAGACAGCTCATGAGGATATGATCAACGTGTTGTGTAAGACTGGCAGATTCAAGCAGGCCTGCAAATTGGCAGATGGCATTGTGCAGAAGGGCCGTGAGATACCTGGGAGGGTTCGAACGATGATGATCAACGCGCTTAGGAAAGCAGGAAATACCGATCTGGCATTTAAGCTGGTGCATAGTAAGATAGGCATTGGGTATGAAAGATCTGGCAGCATCAAAAGAAGAGTGAAATTTCAAACACTGTTTGAATGATGATCAATGCACTAAGGAGGAAAGCAGGAAATACCGTTCTGGCATTTAAACTGGTGCATAGTAAGATTGGCTTTGGGTATGAAAGATCTGGCAGCATCGAAAGAAGAGTGAAATTTGAAACACTAGTTGAATGAGTTGCCAATATTCTTTCTCAAAGGATGAAGGCATGTGTCCAGTTTCACTCATGGCTTCATGGGTTGGCCACGTTTAGATTTGTGCATCTCCAGCAGTAGGAGAAAATCTCAACCTAAAACTAGTTGTCAGGGGAGCTACAAACCTTTTTTTGAGGGTTTTGAAAGGCCTCATCTCCAATCAATAGAATGAGAAAATTCCATCCCCAATCTCTCTTCTAACATGTGGGCTCCATTTGTCATTCAATATTTTAATTTTTTCCCCGCGCGTTTGTTTCTCTCTCTCTTCCCGCTCCGAGCGACGTATCTGCTCCGCCGCCGCCCGCCGGAGAAAATTGGACCGCATCTGCTCCGCTCGCCTTCGCGAGCACTCCGCCGCCGCTCCTCCGAACAGTGCCAGTGGGGGCGCCAGGAGCATCGGCAAGGCAGCACGAGAAGCTGCAGCAAGGCGGTTCTTCCCCGCCCACGGTGATGGCCCCCCGCGGCCACCATCTTGCCGTCGGCGTCCCCTTCCCCGTCCCTGGCGCCGGCAGTTGGAGCTCGCGCCAAACTACAGGTTTTTCTCAGGGGTGGGAATTGAAGGACTGGTGGAGATGATCTTAATTACTTCGGTTATCGGCTTCGGTGTCGGTTTTCCTAGCACACCGAACCGATATACCATCTACCGAAGGAACCGAACTATGCAAAAGGGAGGAGGCAGTGAGGCACGTCGCAGACAGCGACTAGCCCAGCCCACAAGGGCACCAGCGCCGCACTCCCCGTCAGGCGTCACTCCCCCGACTCCCGCACCAGCGCCGCACGGCACCCTAACCCTAGCCACCAACGACGGCGACGGCGCGGCGCATCGGGCTCCGACGGCGGCGGCGGGCCCACGGCGCGGGGCACCACGCAGGCTCCAACAGCGACGGCGCGCGGCCGCGCAGGCTCAGCACCACCCACGTGAAGATCTCCTTCCAGTACAATGTCGGCAGCTACCGAGGAGTCCACCAACGTATGTCTTCTACTCTTCTTCTCTTAAGTTCAGACTTCAGTTATCCTTTCTTGGTTTCTTAGATCTTGCACAAATAGACCAACCTAACCTATGCTTGATCTTAAGTGGCGTGTTTCATGTTTTATGGGGGACACTGATGAAACCGTTGCAAATCAGGTGAATGAAATGATAGAGGTTGACGAAGAGGACGATCAGCAGAGCGAGGAGGATGAAGGTGAACAGCAAGAGAAACAGAAAAACAAGAAAAGGAAAGCGATCGCTCCAAGTTCAGATATTTGGGATCATTTCACTAAGGTAAAAATTGCAAATGGGGAGGAAAGAGCCAAGTGCAAGTACTGTGGGAACTTGTGTCGCTGTGATACAGAGACAAATGGAAATAGCCAACTGCAACCTAGTCATGGAAATAGTAGTGTTGGTACTCTATCTACTTCGGAGATTGATCTTGATGACCTTAGAAACAGTTTTGCTGAAATGATAATTGAAGATGAGCAACCATTTGCCTTATCTGAACGCCCTGGCCTTAGAAAATTTTTGGCCATAGCATGCCCACAATTTACTTTACCCTCTAGAAGAACAGCCACTAGAGCTTGTGTCGAAGTGTGATGTCCAGAAGGAAAAGCTGAAGAAGTTTTTAAAAGAACACTGTGGAAGGGTTAGCCTCGCAACTGACACATGGACATCTAATACCAACCAAAACTACATGTGTGTGACAGCACATTTTATTGACAATGATTGGAAGGTCCACAAAAAAATCATTGGTTTTTTCTTGGTAGAGAGTCATAGAGGGGAAGATATTGGAAAATCCCTAGAGAATTGCTTGGCAGCATGGGGAATTGATAAGGTTTTTACAATAACAGTGGACGATGATAGTGCAAACAACGATGCAATAAAGTACATGCGGAGGGTCTTGAATGAATCAAATGGTAGCATTGCTAAAGGAGAGTATCTACACATGAGATGTGTTGCACACATTGTCAACTTAATAGTTAGTGAAGGCCTAAAGGAAATTGATAGGTCAGTGGTTCGTGTTCGTGCTGCTGTTAAGTTTGTCAAGGGTGAAACATCTAGATTGGCAAGGTTTAAGAAATGTGCTGAATTAGCAAAGGTACAGACCAAAGCCTTTCTGACCGTAGATGTTTGCACTAGGTGGAACTCTACTTGCCTGATGCTAAACACTGCACAGCAGTATGAAAAGGCTTTTGAAATGTATAGTGATGAAGACCCATACTATAAACTAGACTTAAATGACGAGAAAGATGGTCCAGGAGTTCCTGAAAAATCAGATTGGGATAATGCTAGGAAGATGGCTGTATTTCTTGAACATTTTTATGAACTTACTCTCCGTGTTTCAGTCACAAGTTGTCCAACATCAAACACTTATTTTCATGAGATTGCTGATCTGTTGCTTTTGCTGTGAGAGTGGTGTGACAGTGAGGATAGGTTATGTAGTGAAATGGGTAAGAGAATGCTAGTAAAGTACTACAAGTACTTTGGGGAGAAATATGGAGAGAGGCTGGGAGACGGAGAGAAGCGAGGAGAGAAAGATAAGGGGGATCAATTGCTGAACCTGAACTTCGTTGTTTATTTCTGTGTTGCAATTGATCCAAGGTACAAGCTTTCAACTTACATAAAGATGGCTATGATGATCTTGTTTGGTGATGAGATAGGAGAGAAATTGTGGGAAACAGTGAACACTTCTTTCCATGCTTTGTTTGAAGAGTATAGAAATATGTATGCTCCAAGTGATAATGCACCACAACAGCCCACTGAGACTCAAGAACCACCTCCAGAGAGCAGAAGGTCGTTCAAGTCTATAATTGCTGAGAAATTGAGGAAACGTGGGGGTGCAAATGCCACTACCAAATCTGAACTTGACAAGTACTTTTCAGAAGACAATGAAGAGGATAATGAAGGGTTTGACATTCTTAAGTATTGGAAGGGCAATGCTAAAAGGTTTCCAATACTGTCTCGCATGGCCTGTGATCTCTTAGCAATTCCTATCTCAACTGTCGCTTCTGAATCAGCCTTCAGTACAGGTGGACGTGTTCTTGATGATTTCAGGAGCTCACTCACACCACCAATGGTTGAGCGTCTGATTTGTGCAAGTGATTGGATTCGTGGATCCAATATTGTTAGTGTTGAAGAGAATGAAGAAGAATTGTACAAGCTTGAGGAAGGTACTTGTTAATTTAAAAGCTATCGTTCTTTTATGTTCTTCATGATTCATTTCTATCTACTCATGACTAATGTTGCATTTCATATTTCACTTGTTGTAGAACTGGGTGCCCTCACTATTCCTAAGGAGACAACAGAGTCTTGAACAAACCAAAAGTTTGATGTTGTTGCTGTCTGGAAGGAGTGTTGGTGCACTCATCTTTGATTTAATCAATTTGTGGTCACTGTGAACATGTTTGCTTGTAATAATTGAAGTTTGAACCACTGCTAGTCCGCCGTCTGCTACTGGACTTTGAACTTCCATGTATTGTTGTCTTGTTGGCTTGGTTATTGTAGTATTGAAACATGAACTGCCGAAATGGTTATTGTAGTATTATTTACTGTGCTAATCAACTGTCTGTTTCTGTCAGTGTGCTGCAATACTCATTCGGTTGTGTTCGGTGCAGAGCAAACACTGAACCGAAACACCACGGAACATGTCGGTTTTTGGTATTTGCCAGCACCGATTGCCTCTGAGTTTTCCAGCACCGAAGGTTTTTCACACCGAAAAAAAGGATTGCCCAGCCCTACTCATGGATCACTTTTTCAGCACAGGCTATCGCTATGAAGAAAAGCCTCCCCTCTCAGAGTTTGTGTTGAATCATGCGGTAGCTTTAAGTGGTTAAGAAAGCTGCCGTCACACTAGTTTTAAACTGATAATGTAGTTACATCTCTTAAGGCTTCCTCTGATTTCTGGTAGGACTGATCCAAGACAAGATTTATAGATAATAACACACTTGTACACTACTAGTGGCAAATTCTAGCACAGTTTATTAGGTTGATGAGTCTGAAACAATTTTTGCAGGGCCAAAAGGTGGACTACTGAAGCAGCATGAGAACTGTGAAGGCGATGAAGAGCTGTAGCCGTCGGCAGGGCACTATTTTAACCCGGTAGCACCAACGCACGATTCACACAAGACAGGACAATATCGATTCAGACTCTTATGAGATACTTACTCGTTCTGTTTAATCAGAACGACTCCTGTATTCGTTCGACGGATCAGCCTCGGAGGCAACTCCTGTCGCTAATTAGAACTAGTTAATTATAAAATTAATTACATAGATGAAGATTAATTTACGATATGAATTTATTAAGACTAATTAACCCATCATTAGCATATTTTTATCGTACCACATTGTTAAACCATAAACTAATTAAGTTTAATAAATTGTCTCGCAAATTAGTCTTATCTATGCAATTAGTTTTATAATTAGTCTAATACTTCTTTTTATAATTAGTCTATTTTTAATACTCCTAATTAGTGTCAAACATCTCCTGCGGCCTGGAACAAATTTAGTCCTGGGAATACGAACGGGGCCGTATATTTGCTTGCCATTCTCACTGATTACAAAGATTCGGTGGGACGATTCGAGACATCAAAAGTACACAAATAATCACAGTACAGGTCTTTCCCATTCTATTAGGAAAAGAACGCTACAATCTTTATCTTCCGGGGAGAGGAAAGATGTGTATAAAAGTCTAATGTGCTTGGTGGCTCCTCTCTGTAGATATGAGTCTGCAATATTCAGAAGCCACAGAAAATTGAATTTCAGCTTCAATATTTAAATTGCACAGTAAAGATCAAAGAATGTCAAAACACAAAATCACTTTGCTTCCATGAAACTTAGAGAAAAATGGAACTAAAAGAGAGAAATAAAACATAACAATAATGCAGCAATACTATCTCAGTCTCTGAATTCATGTCATATTAGATGCTGTTTCTCCAAGTAGGTTCTCCCTGAAGCAGGGACTGGATACATAAGCACATCCATTTTGCAGACAGAAACATCACTGAAAGCTTGGATTCTGATATGACCTCAACCAAGCTTTATGATTAAGCACAACTTTCAGAATAAAAGGAAAGAGCACGAAGCTAAAACTGAGAAGGAAATAAGGTTCTTCTGTAATGCCTCAGTTTTATCAAACGATGTCATATTTTGTACCATGTTTCCTCAAGTAGGTTCTCCCTGAAACAGGGACTTGAGTCCACAGGACATCCATTTTGCAGACTAATCATCATTGGCAGTCTCACAAGGTAATTTATTTTGCTGATGATAAAACATTAGCCAGAAGAAAAGGCATAAACATCTCACCAATGGATAATCATTACATCAGCAATAACATGCAGCTAAAGAATCAATCTGTCAACAAAGCACATCTCACGTAGACTAATGCATGCAACAAACTAAGACAAGACATTAGGTTTTATTATAAACCTCAGTAAATGCCCATGGATTTCATTTGAATGTAGGACCCCAAGTAGGTTCTCCCTGAATCAGGGCTTGGAGTTACCTACACCTCACATGTTGGGCAACTCATCATAGGTTACTGTGAAGCCGTGAAGGTGAAAGGCATTTGGTTCATAAGCTTTCAGATATAACAGTGAAAGATAAGAGAGCTTAACATAACATAGGCAAATATTTAAACCAAAACCACAGTGCACCAACAAAAAAACACCTCAGAAAATGCCCATAAATTTCATTTGAATGTAGGACTCCAAGTAGGTTCTCCCTGGCAAGCAGGGACTTGGAGCTGTCTACACCTCACACATTAGGCAAATCATCATAAGCAAGATAATTGTAAGCACATTTCTCCATCTATGTTCTGCCAAATAAAATAAATATGGACAATTTCATTCAAGAACAATACCCACCAGGAAAAAAAATGCATATGCAATGTTCAAAATGTTGTTAAATGATTTGTTCATAAAGCTCAGTAAAGTCCACATATCTCATTCCAATGTAGGACCCCAAGTAGGTTCTCCCTGAAAATCAGGGACTTGGAGTGATCTACATCTAATTCAAAGGGCGATTCATCATTGCTTAGTAAAATATTTTCATATCAATAAAACAGACTTGCAAATACAACAACAAAAAATTAAAAGCTGATGCTAATAAACTTATCATAACAATAATCATCGAATATTAATCGAGCTGAGGACAAGCAACCGCAGTTGGTTGATTTAGTGAGAGATTTTAGAAGCAATACCACAGCAAGAAACAGTAAACTTCCACGTTAAACTCACCAATAATTGCTATATGCCTCCATGACTGGGCTGCCTTGAGAGTGAACAATCTCAAGAAACCAAAGGTGAGGAGAGGCACATTGACATAACACGAAACTACAAATTTGATCTCTCAACCATAATCACAGCCTAATCAAAGCGAACTGCGAGGTGACAAGCAATATATTGAGACTTTTCCCTGTGTGCCATTATAAAAGATCGTAATCCCCTGTGTGCCCCTGAAAAAATTCAGCGGTCTTCAACGCCACTACTCCAACTTTTTCGTGTCATCTATGCCACTTCCGTCAGTTTAGGCTCTAACGCCGTTAAACTGTAGGTGTGAAAAGACGAAAATGCCCTTAAGTTCAAATATGTTATTAATTTTTTTTGAGCATCTTAACGACTTCAAATGAAAAATCATATTATTTTTTTTACGAAATTAAATGAAAAAAAAATTTATATGAAAATTATAGATCTCGACGAGATCTACAACTTTCTAGTTTTGAGTTTTTTCATTTGAAGTCGTTAAGATGCTCAAAAAAATTAATAACATGTTTAAACTTAAGGGCATTTTCGTCTTTTCACACCTGCAGTTTAACGGCGTTAGAGTCCAAACTGACGGAAGTGGCATGGATGACACGAAAAAGTTAGAGTAGTGGCGCTGAAGACCGCTGAATTTTTCCAGAGGCCCACAAGGGGATTACGATCTTTTATAATGACGCACAGGGAAAAGTCTCCAATATATTAGTAGAGAATATGACATCAAGAGCTTGCAAGGAAAAGCTTACCCCATGTCAAGTGTTAGCCTTCTTATCCGGCGAACTAGAAGACTGAGAAGAACCAGTCGCCGCCGCAGGTGCGTCGTGGGAGCAGCACCCACCGGGGCCGTGGTGGTGGTGGTGGTGATGGTGATGCTTCTTCGGCTGCGACTGCCGGAGAGGCTTGCGCATATCGTACGCGTCCTCCCCATCGGCGTAGTACTTAGACTCGATGTCGTGGATCTGGTACCCGAGGGTGGAGGTGTAGAGGTTGAAGGCGGCGCGGTTGGATCGGCGGACGTGGAGGGAGACGTACTCGGCACCGAAGACCTGGTCCATGGCGGCCTGCGCGGCAGACATGAGCTTGGTGGCGACACCGAGCTTGCGGTGAGAGCGGAGGACTGCGAGGGAGGTGATGTGGCCGTGGCAGGGCTCGGAGGGGTCCTCCTCCATCTTGGCGAGCACGTAGCCGACGATGCGGCCGCCGTAATCCTCGGCGACGAAGAGGAGCTGCGGCCACGAGAGCATGTGGTAGAGGTAGTACTTCATCTGGTAGTTCTCCGGCAGGCACATCAGGTTGCACGCCTGCATCGCCAGCAGGTCATCGATGGTCGCCTGTCGGATGCACACCATCTTGACCTCCGCCTAATTCTAACCTCTACTCTCTCCGATGCGGTGGATTCGGTGGTTCTCCGGCGATAGGTAGCGATGGTGATGCGGACGGCGGCGGCCGCCTGGCCTCTATTAATATAGGGAGGCTCGGGGAATTCTTGACCTAACCCTAGAGGGTAAACAGGCCGAAATAGGCCTGGTGGGCCGAATGATTTGTTGCTTACGCTGTAGTCGTGTTGGGCCGGCCTATCCTCGTTCTATTTACTGTTCATTAACTACTACTGTCTTCGTTGAATTCATTTATTACTACTACTACTACTGTCTTCCACTAAAAAAAAAACTACTACTACTGTCTTCGTTGGAAGGATGAGCCTCAGAGTTAGAGAATGATGAATTGATGACCTAACTATCTTCGTTTTATTTACTGTTCATTGCAGAATGGCTAGCAACTTCTATTTACTCAGGGAAAAGCGTTTATTTTTCGAAACAATTAGCATTGATGACACCGAATTCTCAAAACTGGAGTTCTAATTGACTAATAATTTTGGATGCTAATTCAATCTGAAAACAGCAGAATGGCCTAGCTATCTTCTATTTACTCAGGGAAAAGCATTTATTTTTCAAAACAATTAGCATTGATGATGACGACGCAGAAATCTCAACACTGGAGTTCTAATTGACTAATAATTTTGGATGCTAATTAAATCTGAAAACAGCACTCTGTAAGTGATCCAATAATAAAACAACGGCATTACAGGTTCCAAACTTGTATTATATTCTGCGGTATAAAATCTGGCCAAATTGTCAGGCATAATGACTAATCAAATGAACTGTGAGAACCAGCGTTGGAGCACATGTTTTTACAAACAGAATACCAATGTCAAGTATATTTGCTTGCCATTCTCACTGACTATAATCTTTGATCTTCTGGGGAGAGGAAAGATGCGTATAGAAAGTCCAATGGGCTTGGTGACTCCTCTCTGTACATATGAGTCTGCAATATTCAGAAGCTAGTTAAGTACCAAAATTGAATTTCAGCTTCAATATTTAAATTGCACAATGCAGATCAAAGAATGTCAAAAAACAAAATCACCTTGCTTTCATGAAACTTAAAAAAATGTGTCTAAAAGAGAGAAATAAAACATAACAATAATGCAGCAATATTATCTCAGTCTCTCTGAATTCATGTCATATTAGATGCTGCTTCTCCAAGTAGGTTCTCCCTGAAGCAGGGACTTGGATACATAGCACGTCCTTTTTGCAGATAGAAACATCACTGGAAGATGATTGCATGGATTCTTATATGACCTCAACTCAACTTTCAGAGTATCAGAATAAAAGGATAGAGCACAAAGCAAAAACTGACAAGGAAATAAGGTTCTTCTGTAATGCCTTAGTTTTATCAAATGATGTCATATTATGTACCATGTTTCCTCAAGTAGGTTCTCCCTGAAACAGGGGCTTGAATCCACAGGACATCGATTTTGCAGACTAATCATCACAGGCAGTCTCACAAAGTAATTTATTTTGCTGATAAAACATTGGCCAGAAGAAAAGGCATAAACATCTCACCAATGGATAATCATTACATGAGCAATAACATACAGCTAAAGAACCAATCTATCATCAAAGCAAGTCTCACGTACACTATACATGCAACAAACTAAGACAAAACATTAGGCCTTATTTATAAACCCCAGTAAATGCCCGTGTATCTCATTTGAATGTAGGACCCCAAGTAGGTTCTCCCTGAATCAGGGCTTGGAGTTACCTACACCTCACATGTTGGGCAACTCATCATAGGTTACTGTGAAGGTGAAAATTGGATGCATTTGGTTCATAAGCTTTCAGATATAACAGTGAAAGATAAGAAAGAGCTGAACATAACATAGGGCAAATATTTAAACCAAAACTACAGTGCACAAAAAAAACACCTCAGAAAATGCCCATAAATTCATTTGAATGTAGGACTCCAAGTAGGTTCTCCCTTGCAAGCAGGGACTTGGAGCTGTCTACACCTCACGTCTTCACACATTAGGCAAATCACCATAAGCAAGAAAAGTTTAAGCGCATTTCTCCGGCTATGTTCTGCCAAATAAAATGAATATGAACAATTTCATTCAAGAACAATACCCACCAGGAAACAAAAAAAAACGCATATACAGTGTTCAAAATATTGTTAAATGCTTTGTTCATAAAACTCAGTAAAGCCCGTATATCTCATTCCAATGTAGGACCCCAAGTAGGTTCTCCCTGAAATTCGGGGACTTGGAGTCATCTACATATAATTCAAAGGGCGATTCATCATTGCCTAGGAAAAGATTTTCATATCAATATTACAGACTTGGCAATACAACAAAGGGAATTGAAAGCTGATGCTAATCAACTCATCGTAACAATAAAAGGGTGTACCCAGTGCAGAGAGCGCCCGCTCTGTGCGGGGTCTGGGGAAGGGTGTCGGTGGCAAGCCTTACCCTCGCCTGTGCAATGCGAGGAGACCACGACTCGAACCTGGGACCTTCCGGTCACAGGCGGTAAAACTCTACCGCTTGCACCAGGCCCGCCCTTCCAACTCATCATAACAATAATCATCGAATATTAAATAAGCTAAGCACAAGCAACCGCAGTGCTAGTTGATTTAGTGAGAGATTTTAGAAGCAATACCACGACAAGAAACAGTAAGCTTCCACGTTAAACTCACCAATAATTGCTACGTGCCTCCATGATTGGGCTGTCTTGAGAGTGAACATTCTCAGGAAACCAAAGGTGAGGGGAGGCACATTTACATACATACACTAAACTACTAATTGGATCTGTCAACCAAAATCACAGCCTAATCACAACGAACTCGGCGTGACCTGTCAACAATATATTAGGCGAGAACGTAACATCCAGAGCTTGCAAGGAAAAGCTTACCCTCCGTCAAGTGTTAGCCTTCTTATCCGGCGAACTAGAAGGCTGAGGAGAAGAACCAGTCGCCGCCGCAGGTACGTCGTGGGAGCAGCACCCACCGGGGCCGTGGTGGTGGTGGTGGTGCTTCTTTGGCTGCGGCTGCCGGAGAGGCTTTCGCATGCCGAACGCGTCCTCCCCGTCGGCGTAGTACTTGGCCTCGATGTCGTGGGTCTGGTACCCGAGGGTGGAGGTGTAGAGGTTGAAGGCGGCGCGGTTGGATTGGCGGACGTGGAGGGAGACGTACTCGGCGCCGAAGACCTGGTCCATGGCAGCCTGCGCTGCGGACATGAGCTTGGTGGCGAGCCCGAGCTTGCGGTGGGAGCGGAGGACCGCGAGGGAGGTGATGTGGCCGTGGCAGGGCTCGGAGGGGTCCTCCTCCATCTTGGCGAGCACGTAGCCGACGATGCGGCCGCCGTAGTCCTCGGCGACGAAGAGGAGCTGCGGGCACGACAGCATGTGGTAGAGGTATAACTTCATCTGGTAGTTCTCCGGCAGGCACATCAGGTTGCACGCCTGCATCGCCAGCAGGTCGTCGATAGTCGCCTGTCGGATGCACACCATCTTGACCTCTGCCTAATTCTAACCTCTACGCTCTCCGATGCGGTGGATTCGGTGGTTCTCCGGCGAGATGAAGAGGATGGTGAATTGATCAATGATCCCATGTCCTTTTTTGCTGAGAAATCTTGGATGTAAGACATACAAGGCAGCAGTGGTCAAACATAAGTCGCGATGGTGATGCGGACGGCGGCGGCCGCCGGATCATGGAATGTTTAGGCACGAAGTATTAAATATAGATAAAAAATAATTAATTATACAGTTTACGATTACTTTGGAAGACGAATCTTTTAAATCTAATTAGTATATGATTTGATAATATAGTGCTACAATAATATATTTGATAAATTAATTAGGCTTAATAAATTCATCGCACGGATTACTCACAGATTCAGATTCTGTAATCATTAGGGGGCTACGCTACATGTTTTTTTTTATAAAAAATAAAGGATATAAAGAGTTTTTTTTTTTTTGGAGTTGCTCAGATAGCAAAAATTATAAGAATATAAATGCAGAAAAGTGAGACGTGTCAATTTGCTGATGAGCGCTGCTGTTTCACCACCAAAGTTTGCAGCGAACGGCCCCCATAGCGTGCGTGCATGACCGTGAGATCTCCTTTTGTCCCTCTGTTCTAAAGCACAACTTCACATAATAAAACAGAACTCGTAGCATCAGAAAAGAAAGAAAGAAAGCGGAAGTACTCAGCAGCAGCACGTTAGCAACCATAGGGTCGATTTTTTAAGTTGCAACAGTGAAATTATAGCGTTATCACCAACCGGTACAACTAATACACGAGAATGGAGTTCTCTTTTTTTCCAATGGGACATATTGTTCTGAGGGTGCTTTGAGAGCACGGTTCTAAATAATCGACCGAGTGCAAGCTTATGCTCCGTCCGCAAGGAAAGGATTGGCGATCTCATCAGTTCCATCGGTCGGTGAGACCAGCATGACAGCCGTGCCTCTGCACACCTGCAAGAACCAGAATGGGATGCATGATGTTCAGATCTGCAGTTGTAAAGCCCATAAAAAAGGACCATCGCATATGCCAAAAGTAATTTATTTATCAGCGTCCAGACAATTATGTAGTTTCTTAACTTTCTTCAGGTAATGCCTGGGCCTAATCGCTAATTATTATTAGAATCATTCATCGCTAACAAACTGAGTACAAGCTTGTTAGAAGAATACAATGGCACACTTCAACATCAGCTCCCCATGCATTACTCAAATATCATAGGAATGACCGAGTACAAAGGTTAAATCAACAATTGTCAGAAAGGAATACTTACAATGAGGCCAAGCTGTCTGGTTTTCCCTGATAGCTTCAATGGATCATCTTGCTCTACAAAAAAAAATGACAAGATTATGGATCATTCCATTAAGCACTATAAACAAAAATTTAACATTGTTCCATCTGCACATGAAGCATATGAGCTTCAGACACGAGGCACATTTTTTTGAAAGACAGATATGAGGCACTATGACCCTGTTATTTGCAGAATATATAGTCCATTCTCCATTCAGTCTTTAACACTTAGTTCAGTGCTAGTAAACAGTTATTTTATCCCCACAGCTAAATTTTAATTAAACAATTAGCTTGCAAATGCTAACTGCCCAAAATAATTGAGGCAAAATGTGCTTTTAAATTGTTTCATAAGTCTTAACCCTAGCCAAGTTCAATGAGCAAACTCCGTGTTACACAATAGAACCAAAGGAATCAGAAAATACCTCTTTCATACTCGACTGCTTCATCTAGCACTAAGTTGAGTAGCTGGTCATATCCCTTTAGAGTTCCTGTCACTGGACGCATGAATAAGGTGGCAGGTCAGCATTACAGAACAAAAACCAGAAAAACTACAAGAAGTTCCACGGCTTTAAATCACTGAAGGAGCTTACACAAACTTCAGCAACTAGCACAAGGGACAATATGCCTAAGATGGATACATGAATGATTCCAACATAAAAAGGAAGTTGCAAGCCAAGAGATTGTGTAAATGACTGCAGTGAACATTCCACATTCAGCCTGCTCGCTTGTTGGTTTCAGACAGGGCTTATCAGTCATGGTACAGTATTTTTCTCTTACAACAAACCAGCACCAGCCGGGCTTATCAGCCCAGAAACCAACCAGCGAACAGGCTGATTGTAGAACACAAAATGGTGATAACATTACTAGTTCGTTTTGATTTTTCCAATTTATATATCCCTTTAGTGTTCTATAAAGACAAGCACACAAACACATACCCAGTCAGAGAGCAAGCACACACTATGTTTTAGAGTAAATTTCACAAAAAACCTAGGATTACGACCCAAGTATCACAAAACCCAAGGCTTTGGCATGTACTACTAATCCCAAGTTTTGTGGTTCACTAATGTACCGTCAGACAACAATGACTTATATATGACTCTTGGTATAACCAAGCACTGGGATTTGTGGTGGGTTTTGTGAATTTCACTCGATAATTTATCCAAAACAACAATACATCAGCACAAGTTCGCACAAATAAGCGCATGAACAAGGTATTTATCCCTCCGATTCATATCACCAGCTGGATAGAGACTATCGTAGGACTCCACTTAACAGTAACCAATAGCTAAACCCTGCTCAAGGAGAAGGTGCAAATTCGGAGCACCAAACTGTCCTGATAGTTACAGTTAGGAGGAAGGAATGAACGAGGGAGGGAGATGTGAAATCAACCTTGGCGGCCGCCGGTGAGCTTCACCTGGACGCCCTTGTCGACGAACTTCGCCAGGTCGAGTGCAGTCTCCTTGCGCCCAGCCTGACCATGAAACAAGCAGCACCACTCAACCTCGCATCACGCGCCACTAGAGGAATCTAAACAAGCTGAGTGTTCCGCGCACGCGGAAAAGTGGCGTCGACGCTTACCATCTCAACACGACACTAGGATGCAGCCAAATCCTTCCCGCGGATCCTCCTGTCTCCCCCTGAGAGCCGGAAATCGCCGGGAGAGTCGAGCGGATTTTCGCCCTAGAAATCGATGCGGCCGCCGCAGCTCGGGAGGACGGGGAGGGGGAGGGGGAGATGGGGAAAACTAGCGGAGAAGAAAAGCAGCTCCCCTTCCTTTTTTGGGGCGATGATTTGTTCCTGGACAGTTTTTGGGCCACCTGTTCTTTTTTCGCGGCAATCAGTCCGCGGGGATGGGCTGGCCCACTCGCCGTTTGTCTCCACGCACCGAAGCAGCGTGGGAAAAAGTCTAGTTACCTCTACAATTTTTACGAAACTCTGTTTTTCTCTCTTAAGTCTAGGATCGGGTAAAACATCTTCTAAAATTTTAAAATCGTTCGTTTTACCTCCCTAATCAGTTATAGCGGTTTCCAAAAACAGTTTTATCTTTTTCTTTTTTATTTATTTTAGTTAGATCTTTAAAAAATCATAGTAAAGTTCCGTTCGGCTTATCTTGTATCCGGCTTGTTCGACTTCTTTTTTTAGTTAAAATATCGTTTTTTCTCACAACATTTCAGCCAAAATAGTGTTTTTTAGTCACTTTCAGCCAAGTTTCAGCAAGCCGAACGGGGCCTAACTCAGATAAAAATCATAAAATAAAAAATCCAATTCTATTGGACTCCACGTGAGTAGTGAACATATAATACAGTATGCTTTAGTATATTTTTTGTCGTTTTAGATATATAATTTTCTGTAATTAATTCATAGCTACAGTTTTTATGATTCAATTATGGTGAAATTTTTATGGTGGGATAATTATTATATACTTGAACTGTAGTAAAAATTTCATACTTATTGAATCATGTATACCTTAGTTATAGATTTATTTAGGTGTATGCTTGTTAAAAAATATTTATAAATCCATAACTAAGTTATACATGATCCAATGAGTATGAAATTTTTACTACAATTCAAATATACAATAATTAACCCACCATAAAAAAATTACCACAATTAGACCATAGAAATTACAGCTATGAATTAATTACAGAAAATCATAGATCTAAAGCTACGTCAAAACTTTGTACTAAAGCATACCATATTATATACTCACTGTATAGATTTACTCACGTGGAGTCCAATAAAATTAGATTTTTATTTTATGATTTTTATGTGATTTACTATGATTTTTTAAAGATCCAACCAAAATAAATAAAAAAGAAAAAGACAAAACCATATTTGGAAACTGTTTATAATCGGTTAAAGAAGTAAAACGAACCGTTTTAAAAATTCAGGAGGCGGTTTACGTAGTTTTACAGATTACGGAGAAAAAGTAGACTTTTACGAAAGTTGAGTTGGATTTTTTCCAGCAGCATCCGGGCCTGAAAAAGGCCCGCTCCAAGCCCAGTCAAGTTTCCACAGGATCTTGACCAAAATTCACCTCTGCGTCTTCCTCTCCCGTTCACCTCTGACCTCTCTCGTGGCGACGACTGGGGGACCCCCGGCCTCTTCCGCCCTAAACCCTAAACCTTTCCCTTGCTGCACCTGCCAGGTATGCTCGCCCCTTCTCTTCCCTTGCTGCTTTGCGAAACCGAGCGCCCAAACCCAAACCTAAGCTATTTGGGGCTACTTGTATTCGGAACTGATTTAATCGCAAGTTGTATATACATGTATTATGCCTACTAATAACTTTGTTTTGGTTTGGAAAAAAATATCGAGTCGTCCGCCCCTGTTATTTTAACTTGTGAAATGGTTGCTTTTGCAGTGCATTAGATTTTACAGCAACGGATCGATTTGGCCAAGACGTTGAGTTCGGGGTCCAATGTCCGAACCAGCACAACCTAGGTGAGTTATCCTGTTCATTACATCAGTAGACCTTGGTTTCAGGTTATGCAGAGGATTGCAGCTCTCTTGTGGTTGTTCCAATTGCTTCCTTTGTGAAATGGACTAATAGCTGCATGAAGCGATCAGTATGGTTGCCTGTTGTTTTATGCTGGGTTCAGGGTTCTTATACTATGTTAACTGCCAAATGATATTGCAGGGGAGGGGAAGGCGATAGCAACACACTCCGAATACTTGTAGCAACGGACTGCCATCTAGGCTACATGGAGAAAGATGAGATACGTAGGTTTGATTCCTTTCAAGCATTTGAGGAGATTTGCGCATTGGCGGATCAAAACAAGGTTTGTGAGAGTCATATTCTGTTGACATCACTTGTTTTCCGCAGTTCTGGCGAGCCCATTCGTTGTTTAATATGCGAGAATGCATTGCAGGTAGATTTTATTCTTCTTGGCGGTGATCTATTCCATGAGAACAAGCCGTCGCGCTCAACCCTGGTAAAAACGATTGAGATTCTACGGCGCTACTGCCTAAATGATCAACCAATAAAGTTCCAGGTTGTCAGTGATCAGACAGTCAACTTCCCAAACAGGTTTCGTAGATCTACATTAAAGACAACTACACCTTAGAAGCTCTTGCAGCGATGTTGTTAACTTCTGAAATTCATTTGTTTCACATACCTTTTGAGGACTTCTGAAATGTGTAGAAATGTGTGTGTGTGTGTGTGTGTGTTTCTCATTTTCATACGAAAATTTCTTATTGCATTCTCAGATTTGGTAAGGTAAATTATGAAGACCCCAACTTCAATGTTGGTCTGCCTGTGTTCACCATCCATGGAAATCATGATGACCCTGCTGGAGTGGTATGGCATTGTTTCTTACCATCTGAATTTTGTTTATTATACTGAAATTGTGCTTATGATCAATGATAGCTTCCTTTCATGAATTTATGTTTCTGACTGTAGGATAATCTCTCTGCCATCGATATCCTTTCGGCTTGCAATCTTGTAAATTATTTTGGAAAGATGGACCTTGGTGGCTCTGGCGTTGGTCAGATAGCAGTTTATCCTGTACTCGTAAAAAAGGTGCAGCACTTTAGCTACATGCAATATCTTAATGTTTTATGCGCTGATTCATTGCTTTCCTATTATTTCAGGGCATGACTTCGGTTGCACTATATGGTCTTGGCAACATTAGAGATGAACGACTAAATAGAATGTTTCAGGTGCCTTTCCATCTTTTTCCTTCACGACTTTGAAATAATTTTGACACTAGAACAAGAAACTGCTTAGATAATTCAAATATTACATGCCAGCTTCTTCTTACTATTGATGTCATATTTTGTATTGCAATACTTCAGACGCCTCATTCAGTACAGTGGATGCGACCTGGAACTCAAGATGGGGAATCAGTGTCTGACTGGTTCAATATATTGGTACTTCATCAGAACAGGTGGACATAGCAAATTAACAACAAAGGAAAATAGCTTGTTCAATTGTTGTTGGCCCTTCATTTTGTTTAATGAAAGCAATCTACAACTGCACTCTTGCAGGATAAAGACAAACCCTAAAAGTGCCATCAATGAGCATTTTTTACCACGTTTTCTGGATTTTGTTGTATGGGGCCATGAGCATGAATGCCTCATTGATCCTCAGGTAACAGCTTGAGATTTTTTTTTACGTTATTGAGGACTAAAACGCTTTGTTGAGTTGTTGTTGTATGTTTTTTAAGGAAAAAAACTGGCCATGCACTCATTGTATATATACTATTTACAGGAGGTCCCTGGAATGGGTTTCCACATCACTCAACCAGGCTCCTCAGTTGCGACGTCCCTGATTGATGGTGAAGCAAAACCAAAGCATGTTCTTTTGTTAGAAATCAAGGTTTTCTTTTGAGACAACTCTCATTCTTTCTTCTTAGTATAATGATACGCAGCTCTCCTGCGTGTTCGAGAAAAACTAAACTCTCAGTCATGGTTAATGTGCTTGGTGTATATATTTTCTGAATCCTTACATGTTTCATAAACAGGGAAATCAGTACAGGCCAACCAAAATACCTCTGAGATCTGTCAGACCTTTTGAGTATGCTGAGGCAGGTCACTTTCGTATTTCATGCTTCACATATTAGTTAGTGAATCTCACTATTGATATTTGTAGGTTGTGTTGAAAGATGAAGCAGATGTTGACCCAAATGATCAGGCCTCTGTGCTTGAACATTTGGATAAAATTGTGAGTTCGCGTTTTTGCATTCTATTACTGAATTTTGATCCATGTTATTGAGAAACATTCAAGAATAGTTTGTTTGTTAATTTCTCTTGTCTAGCAAGATTTTGTTGATAAATGTTAGTTTCAGTAAAAAAGTTGTAACTGGCTTTTCATGGGTGTTGCATTACTGAATTGCTTCAGGTAAGAAATCTGATTGAGAAGAGTAGCCAACCAACTGCCAGCAGATCGGAGCCCAAACTTCCGTTAGTTAGAATCAAGGTAATAAAACTCAACATATGACTGGGTCTGGGTGCAAAGTCATCAAGAAAGAAAGAACAGGTGATATTGCTCATTTTGTTCTGCAGGTAGATTACTCTGGGTTTTCAACAATAAACCCACAACGTTTTGGTCAGAAGTATGTAGGAAAGGTACTGTGGTACTACTGAAGCGTGCTGCCTCAATCTTACTTTAATGCTTACTTGCATGAACTTATATTTGATAATTTTGTAAGGTCGCAAACCCTCAAGATATTCTCATTTTCTCAAAATCAGCAAAGAAACGCCAGACTACAGGAGGTATTTCTTTTTTTCTCAAAATCTGATACTAAATCTATTCCAAATTATGATTCGTTTGACTTTTTTGACCCCAAGTTTGACCAGTTGTCTTATTCAAAAATTTGTGCAAAATATCACTTCTTTGGCTGTGGCTTGCTTTTTTAACAAAAATTCTTCAATAATGACTTAAATTTGACTATGTTTGCACAAATTTTTTTGAATAAGACGAGTGGTCAAACTTGGTGTCAAAAAAGTCAAATGAATTATAATTTGGAACAGAGGGAGTATTTACTTATTGAGAACAAGCTACAAATAACTTGTTCGTTTTCTTAATGATGAGATGGCGTGCCTTTTAACCATTCCTATCTTGTAGACCACATTGATGATTCTGAGAAACTTCGTCCTGAGGAACTAAACCAACAAACAATCGAAGCTCTGGTTGCAGAGAGTAACTTGGTACTTTTTGAACTGCATATACTGTGTCCATTTGCTCTCTGTTTGAGGATGGAATAAATGTTGTTATCCATTCTATTCTTACTGGCTGCTTCTAATTGTGCGAACGAAGCAAAAATATAATTCCTCTGTTAATTACTTAGTTTAGCATACCAATTTGATTCAGTTGGTATATTAATTTAATTCCCATAAAGATGTCTGGGTAGAGTTTCATTTCTAGGCATCGCATAAATTCCCAGTCCGTAATCAGGCCCTCTGTGTATCACATGGTCTAGATATGCGCATGATGTGCTGTGAGGATTATTTCATTTTCAATCCCTTTTCTCTGAAGTCGTTATGTGTACTTAAAATGTAATGTTTACAACAGCACACATTCCTTCCTTTGGTTTCAGAAAATGGAGATTCTTCCGGTTGATGATTTGGACATTGCATTGCATGATTTTGTGAACAAGGATGACAAGATGGCATTTTATTCATGTTTGCAGCGAAACCTTGAAGAAACCAGGGTATGATTCCCCACCATTTTCTATTGTTAGCTTTAGCTGCAGTTGGGCATATGATGCCAGAGAACAATCATAACCTCTAAACCCCAAAGCTTGATAATTTTTGCAGAATAAGTTGAGTTCTGAAGCAGATAAATCCAAAATTGAGGAAGAAGACATAATAGTCAAAGTTAATGAGTGCATGCAGGTGTTAAAGCCTTCTACTTTTCTACTCTAATCACACAATAATGTCCTGGCTCATATAGGTTAATGATTCCACATCTTCTACCCTCTAGGAACGTGTTAAGGAAAGGTCCCTACGCTCCAAGGATGGCACACGCTTCCCATCAAGCTCTCAGAACTTGGTGCTTAATTATCTTTGAGCCTTAATATCTTTTTTTTTTTTTTTTTGCTTTTTGTATTTTTCCACTGGGCTGGATACTGGACAGCTAATAACTCTTGTGACATTTAACTAGGATACTGGAGGTAAATCTTTTACAGCTCAAAGCAGCCTGAACTCATCCAGTGATGACGAAGACACCAGGGATACGCTTCTGGGTGCAAGATCAACTGATGTTGGACGAAAATCATCTGGATTTACTAGACCCTCCAAAGATACTGCTGATGTTGCTAAACGTGGTGCTTCCAAAAGAGGCAGGGGAAGAGGCACCAGCTCAATGAAGCAGACCACTCTTAGTTTCAGCCAGTCGAGGTTGTTTATTCAAACCTTTATCATCTTTCCATCTTTGAAGTTTGAACACTTTAAATTTCAATAGAATTCTTTGTTGCCATGGAGAAAAGTAGCTATGCAGCCATGTCCAATTGGAATAGCCACGTCAAGCCTAATTTTGCACTCAAATGCACTTTATGGAAGTTGCTGAATTTTTGCTGCCCTGCTTTCAGGCTTCAGTAAAGCTAAAATGCTCTTCTTTTGGGGAAACTAACTTCAATGCTAATTTACTAGTCAACATTTGCAGGTCAACTACTGTTATCCGTAGTGAGGATGTCTCCTCAGAGGAGGAAGCAGATGCAAATGAAGTTGTTGAAAATTCAGTATGTCTATTTCCACAATTTTTATTGGTGCATGTCTATGAAAATAAACTGGACTGCCTTGTATGCCTGCAAATCATCTCATGATCTGTTTTTATTCTTAAATGCTCGTGAGGAAGAGGAGAGTGCGCAACAAGTTGGGCGTAAAAGAACAGCTCCTAGAGGTAGAGGCAGAGGCAGAGGTTCCACTGCGAAGAGGGGACGAAAAACAGATATTGCTTCCATCCAAAGTATGATGAGCAAAGATGATGATGATTCAGAAGATGAGCCGCCAAAGAAAGCTCCTCCTCGGGTCAGAGAATATCACCTCAGTGTTCTTAGTTCACATATTGTAGCCAAATTTTGTGCTGTGCTACATCTGAAAGGAAACATATTGTGTAAAATGAGTTTGTTTATTAAGATTTTTTGGTCTTTCGCAGGTCACAAGGAACTATGGCGCTGTCAGGAAGAGATGACCCTTTAGGAAGTTCTTGCTCATGAGAGTTTAGGCTAAGGTATCTGTCTTAGAAGAGCCGGCGTGTTTTCATCAACCTGGACGTCGACAATAGTTTGTGTTGCCGTGAACTGACTGTATCTTGTGCACGCCCGAGTATAACGGATTTATACATCCTTGTAGCTGCTAAATTCCAGCGGTTGCATTGTACATATTATGCATGTCAAATGAATTTTGAGAAATCATGGTGTTCGTCAAAGCTGAATTGCACAGCCCAGGTTAACGTATCTTATCATGCAAAGTTCTCGATACATGACACCAATGACATTTGACATGCAACGAAATAATCAAATAACCACATTTCTGAAGAGAAAAAGGGCGGAAGGGTGTCAGTGGCAAGCCTCACCCTTGTCTGTGCAATGCGAGGAGACCGCGACTCGAATCCGGGACCTTCCGGTCATAGGCGGTAAGACTACCGCTTGCACCAGGCCCGCCCTTCAAATAACACATTTCTGAGCTCCAGAATATTACGAGTGAACTATTCATGAATCTACCTTCCTCTGTAAAATTCAGAATGATATCCACCAAAATGAAAACTTTTGAACAAGATAATCCACAAACGTGCTGCTAAAGGCATTGCTTTGTACTGTACATAATAGAGGCAGGAAGGTTCCCTAGAACCTGAACCCTGTGATTTATATGTATCTCGTGTTATCTATAGAAAACAAACTAGCTGCCAGCAAAGCTAGTTCTACCAAGGGCTCCGCCATTGATTCATGTTGTTAGGTGCAGAACCGTGAGGATGGCTCGGAGGTGGCGCCAAAGCAGCATTCGGCGGTCGGTGCACATCTGCCATCAGTTGAAGAAAACGTGCGTTAGCAGAATATTACTTCCATATTCAACAGGATAGTACTAAAAGCACGATAAGATAAGGGTGCATCAATGATTGTTAATTTCAGGCAAAACCAAGTGACATGCAACCTGAATAGTGAATAGCAAGTAAGCTAAAACAGATTAGCTAAAGGAATGGTAGCTGTTGGTTTTTATGGAAAATGCACATGGTTTTCAAGAATGATTGGTAAAATGCAGAAACTGGACTACAAGGCGATCACTTACCATGAGACTGTTGTCCATAGTAGGGCATGTAACTGTCAGAACTCCATGAGCAAGAACTGCCTTGATTTGGCACCCACTGAGCAGCAGCTTGTTGACCATGTGCTGGAAGAGTTGATGGTGATGACACGTGATGTGGCCTCCCAATCAGATTTGCAGCTGCATAGCCAGGTGCCCTATAGGCTTCTGCTGACCCAGGTGCCTGGTAGAGATTCCTGTTACTCATGGGAGCCTGAATACTTTGGTGCATCTCGGTATTGTAAGGATTAGGATTGGATGGGCTTGGGTTCCTATGGGAACCATATGTACTCTGTCCATATCCAGGAAGTGTACTTTGGTAGCTTGCACGGACTTCATATTGGTTTGGGTTACTCAGGTAGCTTAAGGGCATCTGATATTGGTTTGGAGCACTTGGATAGCCTGAATGGATTTCATGTTGGTTTCCTGCTGGACTCTGGAAACTTCGAACACTGCATGGTGCCTGTCCATGTGTTGTGTTGCCTGCAGTATGCACACCTGTGCTGAAAGTAGCAGCACTGCTAGGTATGGTGCCAACTCCATATGAATTGGCCATTGGTGGGTAAAAGCCTGGCATTGATGACCTTGCACTAGGATCAAGTGGAGCAGCAGTCCCAGCATATGTTGAACTAGCCTGTAAGCACCCGAACATCAGAACATTGCTGTATAGCTTTGCATATTGACACTAATCTGATCCATGATGACACAAAACATACAAGGTACTATTTCAAAAATAACAATAAAGGCACCATTACATGATTTTGATTGCTGGAATTTCCATAGCTTGGGGTCACAATTCTCGGCAACACACGCTGCATTTCATCTAGGGTTCTCTGAGCCTCATCCCTAGAAAGCTCTGTGAAGATTACCTGAAAAATGTTTTTAAAGCTCAGTGAGCTAAGGAATCATTTGAGGGTAGTCAGAAGATGCTGTACAATTATTATATCAAAATTTGAGTATACCTCGTCAAAAGGCTCCTTCGAATGAGGCATGTCCTTTGAGAGTGGTAGGACAAAATTGGCTGAAAAGGGTAATTTAAGGTAACTGGTAAGTAATGGATGTCGAGATACTGAAAAAAGAAGTTGGACAGCGAACATGTTACTTGAGAGTAAAATAACGTGTGTATGTCCAGGTACCTGTCATTTCGTTAACTGCTTCAGCTGGTACTTCCTTTCCCATCTCATCGAATCGCTTTGCTGCCCTGGATTTCAGTTCACTTGGAGTTGGGAACACGACCACAGCAGTCTGTTGCATAAGGGAGTATGTGACATTAGACACCTTATGATCCAATCCAGTGCTACCATACAGAAAACCTAACATCTCTTTTTCTCTTTTGCAGCTTACCTTGTGGTAGTTAGCAAATGGCCTCAGCTTGCGGATACGTGCATTCTTGTAAACATTTGTTTGATCGATAATGAAGTTGCGAGGGGTGTTTGCAGCCCTAGTCAGCAATTTGTTGAAAATCCATGTAGCACAATCCATCAGTCGATCAAAGCGCTCGCCATAGTTATTCTTACGCAACAATCCTGGAACCTGCAATGATCAAGGCTGTCATATATTGAAAAGGCAGCATGATTAAAAGAACACCATACTATTGCCACCAGAAGGAAAACCAACCTTCATTTGCTCCAATGCAAGGTTAGTTCCGAGAAGGATAAAACGTTTCTCCTGATGCTCCTTGACCCAATTATCTGCCCATGTTGACTTGCCTGAGGCCGGAAGACCAACCATCATCATGACCTCACATTTATTTTGCTCAAACGAAGGGCCAAATACTGCATTCCCATGAGTAAAAGCCGAGGCCCAGGGTTCATAACCATCAACCGGCAGCAGCCCATCCTCTCTGCCGAACTGCATCTCCACGGCAACATTCTTCAGCAGGACATGGGGAAAGAGTGCGGATCTCCATTGCATCGGCCTCAGAGGAGCGTCAACCAGACCAAGCCCTTTCTCACCCGCGTCAAAATGCCTCGCGATACCAAGCCATTCGCCGTTCCTCGCAAACCCGATCGACGCCATGGGCTTGGAATCGAGGTCCACGGCACAGACGACCGTGTCCCCGACCCCGAACTTGACGCCGTAGTTGACGAACCTGCGCTGGTGGGAGAACTTCCCCGTGCCCCCGAACCCGAAGCTGTGCTGGGACTCCCCGAGCGCCCCTACGGGATCATCCCCTCTCGAGACCCCAATGCGGCAGAGGTGGCGCTCCTCGGGGGTCGTGAGGTCCATCTCCACGGGTTGCTCGGCGACGATTTTGCACCCGAAGCAGTACCGCCCGCCGCCCCTGGCGCCCACCGTCGCGCGCGCGCCGGACCAGCAGTAGGCGAACGCGCCCTCGTGCAGCGCGCTCCCCCGGAGACCGCCCCCGCCGACATCAAAGTCTGGACGGACGCCGCGGCGAGAACACGATTAGAGACGCGTGTAACGGGAACCCAAGCGCAGAGAAGACGTGGGGGTGTCGAGTGCGTGAGTGCGTACCGAGATCGCAGTCCGCCGGGTTGAGCACCACGCGCGGCGATGGCTCCGCGGCGTCCGCATCCGCTTCGGCATCTCGCCGGGGCCGCTTCGACGGTGGCTGCGAGGACTCGTCGTCGCGCGACCGCGACGCCATTGGGTTTGCGAGGGGACAGACGGAGGAATTGCTGCACGGTTGGTTCGTCTCCCTGCTTTATTGCCTTGTCGACTCGTCGGCACGGAGGGGAACGAGAGCGTGGGCCGCGAAACGGGCCCGCGTAGAATTCGCCTTTTACTTGGCCCGGCCTTGTCTGCTTGAGTCGGTGCCCGAAATGGGAATTTTCCTTACCGACCTGTTTTTTATTTGGTGATTTCACATGAGTATGAGCATGGTGTAGATTGTACCAAATATAAAATCATGCGAAATCTAGATTCATATATATTTTATGATGGATTTTCTTACTAGATGGAATTAGATTACCAACCTAGATCACAGAGAAAACCAATGTTGTCGGGATCACAGGTCATACATTTTTAGCAATCTAATAATCACCGCTTTGACTTTAGTCACTGATTGCAGCAAAACAGCACTGCACCAACTCAAGCTACATTCGTGTTGTATTGATGCGATTGGCTTTTGTTAGTTCCAGTAGGGGACACCACTCACAGAGAATAATTCATTATTGTGGGCTTGTGGCGTTGTAGCTTCCCAAGGCCAGTGTCAGCGGTGCGTTCTACAGTGCTGTTATCAACGTCCTGTTTGTTTGGGCTTACTGATAAGTTATGACTGAAAGTACTGTTGGCTGATTTGATGTGAGAGAAAAATATTGTTCGTTGGCTGAAAAAGTACAGCTTATAAACCAAACAAGCCCAAACAAACATAGTACAAGACTATCATGTTAGTTTTTTTTATTAGTAACCATAACAACGGGTTTCATTCAGATAAAACCATGTAAAACTCTCTTTCTCTTTTTTATAAGTAACCTGCCAAGTCATTAAAACCATTGATGTATCATAGTATTAAATGCAAATAAAACCAAAATAAAATTTCCACTTAGACTAGCACGAGGCATACTAACACCATTTAGACGTACGACCATGGCTGGCTCATCGACCGTTCAAGGCGCCACAGCCATGCTAAGTTCTCATCTACAAGTTCGTTTTCAGATCTAAAGCACATGACTCTATATAGCTTTCTAGTTATTAGATTAGGATTACTTTGAATCGTTGAAGGGATTCGGACAAAAAAAACCTCGTATATGGCCTGCATATGTATTTTATTTTAGGCTTATTTCATGAGTTTGTTGGGTTGAAATAAGACTACGTAGGGCTAATTCTATAGTTTAGGTGATAGCCTCCCTGAATCTAATAAAAAAATATGAAAGATGAAGGTTGAAGTAACGTATGCTAAGATAGTGTTACAAAGCTCCTACTCATAGTTTTTCTTAGGATTCTATGCAGCTCCTACTCATAGTGTTAGTATGTCAAAAGCAAAGGTGTATATAAGAAGCGTGATTAGGTGGTAAAATTTCCGTGAATAGCATTTTGCAATGAAATGGTTCAAAGGAAACTAGCTAGGAGAAGACATTGTCAATGTGGCCATTCTTACCCGTCTTCAACAGGGGACGTTTTAGGTAACCCAAACTTAAAATAAGTCTCCAACAGAATACATATAGCCTCCGACAGAGTATCTATGCGGAAAACCCATTTTAGGTGTCAGAAGAGGTATACCTCGACCAAAAATATGTATTGAACCATTTACTTCTAGCGCTACCTAAATGTGGAACGTGTCTTGTATTTTAGGTAACGGTTGTTGGACACAGTATTACAAACCTCAATTTGCCAAACACTACACCGTTTTTTTTCCTAAAAAAAATTAAAAACAACTTCGTTGCTTCGTTCGCGCGGTGAAAGAGAAACTGAGAAAGCATCGACGAAGCGGTGTGTCTGAGGCATTGTTTAAATCCAGAGTATAAAGTTTGAAGATGTCACATCGGATGTCACATTAAGGTATCGCATAAAATGTTTGGATACTAATAAAAAATAAATTACAGAATTCGTCAGTAATATGCGAGACAAATCTATTAAGTCTAATTAATCCGTCACTAGTACATATGTTACTGTAGCACCGCATTGTTAATTTATGGATTAATTAAATTTAAAAGATCCATCTCGTAAATTAATCGTAAACTATGCAGTTAATTATTTTTAGTTTATATTTAATACTCTGTTAAATATTTAATGGGATGGATACGGAGTAAACTTTAGTGGAGTAACTAAATAAGCCCTGAGGCAGGCAGGCAGGCCAACAAGTCGCAGCGCAGTCAAGCAAGGCACGTCGGTCCAAGAGCGCGAGCACACGACGCTGCCGGCCTGGCCGCGCTGCTACGAGTCCGAGCGAGATCTGAAGGCGCAGGAGGAAGGAAACGGGCGAGAGGATCCAGCAGCCCGCGAGCGCGCGAGGCGGTTAACGCGTCCCAGATCCAGACGCGGCGCGGCGCCTCCCGCCCGGCCCTGCCGGCGAGAGCAGCGGGGCGCGCGGTCCGATGAGGCGGCGGCCGTTCCTGGACCAGCGGCGGCCGTCGTTCAAGCGCCGGTGGCAGCAGCGGCCGTGGTGGGTGCGCCTCGCGCTCTCCCTCCTCCTCGCCCTCGCGTGCGTCCTCCTCCTCGCCGTCCTCCTCGGCTCCCCCGACCCCGGCGCGTCGCCGTCCACCTCCGCCGCGTCCTCCGGATCCGAGACCACCTCCTCCCCTCTCCTCCGTCAGGTAACCACGTCGCATTTTTCGCATTTCGGGGACCGTTTCGTCGTCTGGCCGTTTGACTACCAGCATGTCAATTTTAGTCAGTAACCATTGCACCTGCTGAATCTGCTTAAGCTATGTCTAGTGCTACCTTTTGTTGAAAGATGATAATGAGCGCTAGCGAGTAGCATCTGAAAGTTTTTTTTTTCAAACCTCTCCTCTTGCGTGCAGAGAACTTACCTGGAGGGAATCACGGATGCGCTCAACATGACTGACGAAATGCTGAGCGCCCGCTCGTTCTCGAGGCAGCTCATGGACCAGATTTATCTAGCCAAAACTTATGTCGTCGTTGCCAAGGAGGCAAACAACCTGCAGTTCGTGGCGGAGCTTAGTGCCCAGGTACTGCAGGCGCAGAGCATCCTTGCGCACGCTGCAGCCCATGGGGGCACAGTGATGGAGCAGGAAGCAGAGAAGGCGATCAGGGATATGTCGGTGCTGCTCTTCCAGGCGCAGCAGCTTCGGTATGACAGCGGTATCACGATCATGAAGTTGAAAGGCCAGATTCAGTCCCTGGAGGAGAAGTCGAAAGCTGAGGCGGAGAAGAGCACAAAATATGGCCAGATTGCTGCTGAGGAGCTCCCAAAGGGACTTTACTGCCTTGGTGTTCGGTTAACCATGGAATGGTTCAAGAGTCCTGAGCTTCAGAGGAAGTTTTCAGATAGGAGCCCAGCAGTGCAGAGCAATCTAAGGGATAACAGCCTCTATCATTTCTGTGTCTTCTCAGACAACATCCTTGCTGTTTCAGTTGTTGTCAATTCTACGGCTATAAACTCGAGGCACCCTGACAAGGTTGTTTTTCACCTAGTGACTGATGATTTGAACTATGCTCCGATGAAGGCGTGGTTTGCCATGAATGACTACAGAGGGGTCACTGTGGAGATACAAAAGGTGGAGGACTTTACCTGGCTCAATGCATCGTATGTTCCCGTTCTTAAACAGCTACAGAATGCTGCTACCCAGAAGTTCTACTTCTCCGGCAGTGGTAATCGTGGAACACCAATTAAATTCAGGAACCCAAAGTACTTATCAATGCTTAATCACTTGAGGTTCTACATTCCGGAAATATATCCCGAATTGCAGAAGGTGGTGTTTCTTGATGATGATATCGTTGTTCAGAAGGACCTATCAGAACTGTTTACTATCAACCTCAATGGTAATGTGATGGGTGCTGTAGAGACTTGCATGGAGACATTCCACAGATTTCATAAGTATCTTAACCATTCCCATCCTCTAATCCGTGCTCATTTTGACCCTGATGCTTGTGGCTGGGCATTTGGTATGAACGTGCTTGATCTGGTCGAATGGAGGAACAAGAATGTGACAGGCATATATCATTATTGGCAGGAGCGCAATGCTGATCATACCCTATGGAAGCTTGGGTCTTTACCACCTGGGCTTCTTGCTTTCTATGGCTTGGTTGAAGCATTGGATCCCCAATGGCATGTCTTGGGACTTGGCTACACAACTGTGGATGCTGCTACTATCAAGGAAGGGGCAGTACTGCACTACAATGGAAATATGAAGCCATGGCTCAAAATTGGAATGGAGAAGTACAAGAGCTTTTGGGATAACTATGTGGACTATTCACATCCTTTGATTCAGCAGTGCTTCATGCGTTGATTGCTGTGTATCACATTAGAAATTTTTGTAAGCTCCGTGGTAGATATGTTCCAAGCGCATGCTCCAACTGCCGCACGGAAACATTGTAGTTAAATCAACTGGCTTCGCTCTCAAGTTACAATCTCTGACAAAACATCAGTGGCTGTCTGTAGCACCTGTAGTTGATGAAGCACAGCAATCACATATCTCCAGCCACAGGTAAACATGACATGAGCTAAGACTGCGATGCAGTAGGCTGCTACTTGAACTACATCCACTACATACATTCATAACTTGTGACCATCAATGTAATTTTTCCATTTTTTATTTTTTGGGTGAAACAGAACCACAGAATGGAGATGTAGTAGAATTGATTTTAAATTATTGAGGTGTTACAACAAGTTTTGAGTTACGTATCCATATTTATTGGATGTTAAAGACTTACAATAGCTAAGCCTTTTTCTGTTTATTTCTTTATACATGTTGAGAAGTAAAGTCACATATCTCATTTGCACCTCTACCTGAATTTTGTTTCGTCTTTCTTGCTGTTCAATGTTTTCACATCTGTTGTTGTTGTTGTTGTTGTTGTGAGGACGGTAAAGCTTATTTGCAAATACATATCTTGTGGGAAAAAGTTCATCGATACTATATTTAGTATGAGGGAAGTCTGTGCATCCATTCACTGGCGGAGCCTCTTGGAGGCCAACCAGGGCTCCGGCCCCCCCTTCCTTGTTACACGTATATACATATATTATCCTTCTCTAGTTGTTGCACGTATACATGTATGTATTGCTACTACCTGCTAGTTATTAGTGGGGAAATAGATATAAGTTGCTTATTATATATATACATGCTTCTAAGTTTTAAAGTTTACAATACAAATCTAGCTAAAGTTCAAGGAAGAGCATATATGTACAAGAATAGAATCTCAAAGTCTTGAATTTGAGAGAACATAAGAGGCTGCAGAAGCATTTTGTTTGTTGTAATAAAAAGAACATAACCTATGTATGGTTGATACTGAACATTTTGGCCCCCCCCTATTTCATCTCCACGCTCGGCAACTGCAACCATTTATGAGGAGAGACTATGTATGACTTCATTACATGTGGTTGAACTTTAGATGAGCTACAACGCAGGCAAGTGTTTACAGGAAATAAAGTGTAAATACATTACATAATCAATGTTATGTGGCTGGAGGATTGAGAGGGAGAGGCGAGGGGAGCGACGGCGGCTGATGCGCTACAGTACCCACGACGCTACGGTACCCGTGGGTACTGTTCATGGCTACGGCGGCTAGGGCTGCAAGGGCGCTGGGGGAGGCCGGCCGCGGGGCTTCGCCCACGGCCGGCAAGAGAGAAGGGATTTCCTTCTAACCTCTTGCTTGATTCTAGATTGATACATCTCCTCTCATTATATAGAGAGGTCTGACTTGGTCCCTAAGCAAGCGACTAATTAACCCTAATGGGCTAAGGCCCAGTAGGCCTTTGACTCCTCTAACAATCAAGTCCACAGAAGGAATCCATTTATAATATGAAAATAACTGTTACTTATGCTGCCGTCAGCTACAAAATGACAAATGTAGTTGCATATATGTTATTCTCTTTCTTCTCTACTTCTCTTCGGAGTATGCCGTTTCCAATCCAAAGTTCATGGGTTTGCTGCGGCATCTACCTCAACAGTGGCCTTCCTATTCCTTCTAGATCTGGACCTTCTCCTTCTATGTCTCTTGTTTGTTTCTCTTCTCTCCTTATTATTTGTGGATGTGCTGGGGTTTACATCTGTGGGGTCTACAACAGGTTCCACTGCTTGCGTTTTGTTTTGGTTGGTTTCACTCAAGCTGTCTTCTGAGCTCGTGCCCTCAGGATTTCTTTCTTTCTCATTTTCCTTCTCCAGCAATTTAGTTTCTCTGTTGTTGTTGCTGGCCTCACCTTGAGGGTCCTCCACCTGTCTTGTGCCATCTGATTCTTCTTTGCTGGCTTCCTGATTGTCTATCAGTTTTTGGTTCCCCTGCTGAAGCTCAGATTTATCTGAATGGCTTCCCTCTGGAGCATCATCTGATTGCTCATTGGCATCACCTTTGTTCTCTTGAACCTGGACATCTTCTATGTTGGTTGTTAACTTTAAGAACTGTTCTTGTGAGGAACTGTTGTCTTGTTGGTTGCTCTCCCATGTAGTGGTGTTGTAGGAATTTTGTTCTTCTGCTACAGGTACAGAACCATTGGTGTTTTCAGATTTGTCAAGTACCACAAGGTCAGAAGTTGCATTAACGTTTTTTGCTTCCACTACAATGCCCTCATCTTGGTGGCTGCTATCTGATGGATTAGTGTTGCTTGAATTTTCTTCTGCTGGAGCAGACATGGAATCACTGGAGTTTTCAGATTTGTCAAGTACCACGGTTTCAGAAGTTGCATTTTCGGTGTTTGCTCCCACTACAATGCTCTCATCATTGTGGTTGCCCTCTGATATAGTAGTACTGTTGGAATTATCTTCTGCTGTAGCAGGAATGGAATCACTAGAATTTTCGGATTTGTCAAGCTCAGGCTCAGCTTCTTTCTGCTGCAGGAGTTCCTTTATAGTTGTCGTCTGATCTGGGTTTGAAGCAGCTGCATTCTCTTTCATTTGGTTGATATGGCTCTCTTTCTCCACAAGAGCTGCTTCCAATTCTTTCTGGGTGTTGGTAAGATATGTGGTGGTAGTTTCTGAATCCATGAGCTTGTTTTTCAATTCTGCCCTCTCAATACTCAGGACAGATGTTTTGGCTTCCAGTTCGTCAACTTTCCTCCTCATCTCTTTATTAATTTCTTTTTCTTTCTGCCAAAAACAAGACAGTAATATTTGGTTGATGAGGTGTTCTTGAATAACAGGCTGGATAGATAATTCATAGAACACACTAACAGAAAAGGCAGATAGAATGCTCTAAAGTGCTACAGCTATTGCAGTGTACATCAACAATTGGACCATACGGCAGAATATTCTCAGTATTTACTTGCAGAATAAGAGGATGTTCAATTGAATATAGTGACTTAGTTGGCTACTTGCATTTTAAAACTAAACTGTGATGTGATGCCTCCAGATAAATATATATGTGCAAATAGTGTCAATATTGAAGTCCTCTCAGGGGTGATTTATATGGATTAACTTATGAAGGCATGATTCTAGGTTTGACACTATCTTCATGGTTTGAGAATGGAAAGATTTCGCATGTGCAACACTGTAGTTTTGTTGTATCCATCTTTCGTCTAAGGCCCTGTTTACAATGTGGGAATTTTTCTCCTGCTCTTCTGTAAATCGTCATGAAATTTGTGCTTACATACACCCTAAATTGGCAATATGATGGTTTTGTCATGACGATACTGAATGCAAATAGAATCATACTTTGCATGATATTGTACTGTTTCTTATATTTTACTTACTAGTGGTAACAAGAATTCCCTAATTTAAACATTATAGGCAATTCTCAATTGATAGATCTTGACTTTTGAAGTATTATGTACCAATGCATTTTTAATCTATTTGATGATGAAACGTTTCAAAGAGAACTGATGTTGTGGTATTCCATTAACTCATATTTTTGCACTCAGTTTAGTGCACTATGCTTAATGTAATCCAGAGACCTGAAGGTGTTTGAAGTTAATTGAATACTTGTAGTCTGAGACCCTTGTTTCGATTAAGAAATCTCCGTATAAGGGCCAAAATTTATCTACAATGTGCTGAATTGTTACTTTGAGGGCACAATATTCTGTCATGTATTCGGGGGACATAAAGTTCTTTTTTTTTGGTAGTGTTCTACAGAGTGGTTTATTAGTGTCCTACAGGTCTTCAGTACAGGTGGAACTATGTTCTTCAGAACTTCAGATGGATACTATGAGCATCAATTTCCTGTTGCAGCTTGTAAATCGTTGAAAAAATTCAACTGATAGCCTATACTTAATTAGTTTATAGTCCAGGACTCCAGGTGACAAAAGCAGGGTATCCATTATCTACTGACATAGTCGATCAAAATGTGCAGGCACAAAGAAACAGGCATTCAGGCAAGCTACAGCTATCTATTAGAAGCACAATTGGTGATGCATGCAAACTTTTTTCTCGAACACGGATGCATGCAAACTAATCATGCATATCCAATACCTCGAGGAGGACTTGGAAGGAGATGAACTGCTGGTCGCGTTCCTGGAGGAGGACGGTAAGGACGCTGCGCTCCCTCATCTTGTGCAGGATGCCGACACTCACCGCGGCGGCTCCAATGGCCAGCAGCACCAGCAGAAGGTACGGGGGCACTCTCTTGCTGCTGCCCATTCTGTCGTTTCTTGATCTATGCTTGCTTGCTTCCATCTCCTCTGTGCATGCACCCTCTTATGGGCACCCTTTGCAGGATCCTGTGATGCTGTTTACTGCAGAATGGGGCAAATGCTGTGGCAGCAGCTTTAAGAAACTGGGGTTTCCTTTTCGGTTGCTTCGGTTCTGGAAAGAGAAGTAAGCTTGCTTAGGAATGGTGTAACCAGGCACTAGGTGGCGCCAAGTCTTAGGGCTGGTGTACATTGTGTATACTTCACTTGCTTCAAGGTGGTGATGCACATGCTCATCTCAGTCTAGCAGTAGCTGATTTGTTCGAGCCATAGAGAGGTATAACGCCTGGCTCTCTTTGACTTTTGATGGTTATCGTTAGATTTAGGCAATATTGACTACGATGCTTGTATTTGCATCTGATCTCACAGTAAAGTATCATTGTTCATGTTCGTTGCCCATCAAACTCAGCATTCTATACGAGGCCACTGGATCAGGAGATCCCCAACGAATGAAAGTGACCAGAATGACAAAAAAGCACATCACCGTCTTCTACAACCACAAAATCTTCTGTCAACAGGAAATAATGAGCTCATGATGTTCTCAAACAAAACTTTCAAGTGATTATTCATGAACGGTGTTGAGAAAAATGCATTATATAGAAGATGACTACATGTCTACATGAAGTACGCAACTTAGGTCCACCATCTTCAAAGAAATTCCCATAATAATAAGAATACTGTTTTTGAGCAATGTGTATGGGAGTATATGATTCTTATCATTCGTTGGCACTTTTTTTTTTTTTGTATTAAAAAGGAAGGAAGAGCACTAGCTGCCAATTCATTGACATTACACATGGAACAACGGAAAAACACACCCCCCAAACAATCGTAATGTGTAACAATCTCGTTGTAACCCTTTGTCATCGCGATGTTAAATTATTTTACAGAAGATAGCACACCAGAATCCCCATTGATTCACAGATCAACACTTTTACCTTGCTTCAACCAATAACTTCGAACAAACCTACAAAATAGTCCTGGAAACACAAGGATAAATAGAAGTGAAGGTAACAACCAACATGAAAATAGAATGAAAGATGCAGTCGCAAACAAAAGAACGTAAACAATGTAATACACGGGACGCAAATGGTGACTATTCGTAAAGCTAGTAACATATTCGCTTTACAGCTTTTAGAGGATCGAACGAGTGTACAAATCTGACAGGACATTTAGATTAAGTTACCCTATAACATGTCCAGGTAATGGCATTTGCACCCAGTCTATCTGAAATCGCAAGTTTTGTTTTGATTAAGTTCCATGGGCACACACACAACAGATAACTTTTAGCTGAATTTACTCGATGCACAAGTCAAGAACGCTAGCTGAGATAGAGTGCTTATGGCACAGAATAAATCCACACTTGTCACTGCAAACTGACAAACGCCATACACGTCTGCCCAATTCGATGTACATAACCATTCCACTCACGAAAGGGAAGATGAAACCACTGTATATATATTACTTTTAAAGGGCTGCACATTTCACTCACAAAGGGAAGACGAAACCACCGTATATATATTATTTTTAAAGGGCTGCACATTTCAATGGAGTAACACAGATGGGACTTTTCAAGCGAAGGCTGCAGGTAACACATAAGGGGCATTTCGAGAGAGAGGTCTCTGCAGGGTAGCCGGCTGCTTCTTTCTTTTCTTTACAGATACTTGACGAGAAGCCAAACAATGACCGCAAGAATCACGATGGCGACGACAGATAGAAGCAGGCACATGCATGAGCAACCCCCTTTGGTGCGCTTGTTCAGAATTGCAAGCCTCTTTTGCACACGCTGAACAAAAGAGAATTTTGTATCAGTGTTCCATTGCAAACTTGAGAAGTTTGAATAACATGTAGCAATGAAAATTTCTACATAGTACTCCCTCTATTCCATATTAGAAGTCGTTATGGGTTTTCTAAGTAGTACCTAGACATAGTCACAGAGTGTATCCAGAACTTACAATTTCGAATGGAAGGAGTAGCAGTTAAGCAATTCTACGTAGTAGTAGTAGTTTAAGCAAAAGCAGTGTCTTAAATACTGATCCTAATTGCTAACCTGAAGACGTGAATTTGTAATATCAACATGATCTTCAAGGTCATCCTGCAAACAAAGATAAAGAAGTTATCATCGAGTGCAAAAGACACAAATACTACTGGTTTTTGTTAGGGGGCACTAACTATCAATCTTGTGTGCAGGGTAAGTTCTTCATTGACTGCTAATGCAATATGCTTTGTGCTCAGCACTGTCTCTTCCAGCTTCTCAAGACCCTCATCTTGCTCTGCAAAATGTTGATACACAACTCAAATAAATAAAGCACCATGAAATGGTCCTTGCTCCCACAACTGTCATTTCCAAGAAACCTAGATCTGTACCAACCAAATATGAAATGCAAATGGTGTGAAGAAACAGTGCTACATGATCCCATGCAACAGTTGATTGCACCCTTTTAGTAAGGTCCATCGAGCAAAACACTCATGAGCAAACCACAATAAACCAATACCTTTCATAATTTGCCTCTGAAGGCCAACAATTCCTTGGTTATCTAACCCAGCAACTCTGCTCATGTCATCTGCCTTTTTACTCTGACCAAGCAGATCCTCCCTAAATTGGAAAAGAAAAAAAGGGTACATATTCACATATTAGTTCTAACAAAAAATCACAATAATACTTGCCTGAAAACTTGAACACAGTAAATTAATGTGTTTAAAAAATAGATTAAGATTTAGGAAGGACGAGTTCCTATAGAGATCACTGCTAACACGACAGACCTGTTAGCAAAGTTTGACATGTTGAAACTTGTCGCCATCTGCTTTGCTTTAGACTTCAAGCTGGAAAGCATGTCTTGGCGCTTATGCATCTCCTTGTCAGTGCTGCACAAGTCAAAAGAAATCAATTTCAAGCAAAGAAGGAGAAGATCAGAGTAAATGTCTGGAGTCTGGACATCAAACTATGAAGTTCTTTGTCAAGGAATAATATCTTTCATTGACACGCAAATCCTTCTCATAATGATTTTTTTTCTCAACTTATACATACAAAACATGTATCTAGTGAAATGCTGTCCACAGAATCCTAGTAATCAGCAGAACAAAGGAATCATGTTTTCATTTGTAAGCAGGAAACCATTTACTAGTATAACTAATAAGTTACACTCTTTTCATGTAATAACTTATGGGCTGTTTGGATCAGTGCCCCAGCAGGCATCCAAGTTTTGGCCCTGCCCATGCAATTTGGCTGGGCTGCAACGCTGATGCATCAGCTGGAGAGTGATCCAAGAAGTGCCGCACATTTTGTAACAATCTTTGGACTTCTATTTTCTAAACTATGTGCCCAGTATGTGATCTATTTATACCATTAACGTACTTGTGATTTAATCTACACAAAGACCCATGATGGATATATTTCGAAATTTTAAAAATCATTGGCATGTGGGCCACATGACAATCACTGTTTTAGAAAAAATTGCCATGGTTGCAACCAAGCCCAATTTTGGCTTGGTTACAAACCTAACGCTGTATTTATAACACAAATTTGGTATTATCCTAACTTTGGCCATAACCATTTTTTGCGTCAGGCCTCCTGGGGTCTAGAGTCTACAAGAAAACAAACCATTGGACGATCTATTCTGGAACAATGTAAAATTGTGCACAGCACATAAGTTAAATAACTCAATTTTTAGTACAGTGCCTGACATAGCTAGCTTCATAACATTTCATTTCATCACCTAAGGTGTTTATCTTTATTGATTCACTTATTCATGGCATAGTTCAGTGCTCAATCATTCGAATACCGCTTTGCATCCCTAGATCTAGTATCAGCCATCGTTAACACCATAATCCTTCATTTACGGCCGCATGCAATATTGTTCAATTTTGATTATAAGGACACGTCAAATATGGAATTGACAGAACAGATCATCGGTTGAAACAAGTTCTCCAAGATTCAATAGCTATATGTTTCATTGCTAAGTATTAGACTTGAGAAAAACATATATGGCGTCATTGCAAGAACTCCACCCATCATCAGTATCACATAATTACAAAAGTAGTTGCAACAGCACATACATTGACTTTGGAGGAATTCTGCCAAGCAATGACTCCAAGCTATCCAGTCTAGTCCCAAGAATAGTTATTTTTCTCCGGATGGCTGAAGTATGCCGCATAATTTCTGGGCCTGATTGTGGAAGAGACCCTCTATCGGCAATCATGGAACTGATGTCATCAGCAAGTCTGGATGCTTCATTGTACTCCTTCATCCATGGGTCCGAAGATGATGCCATTGCTGGTTAATTCAAAATGACAGAACACGTCATGTGAGCAGAATTTGGATAACCATAATAGCATAAACAACAACGTTGTAACCCATTATCATACAATTTCATTGTAATAAACTAGTATCATGCAGAGCCCTTTCATATCCATGTAAAGCACCACCAGAACTGTGGTTGAAAAGACAGGGAGCTCTTACGAGCAAGTTATCAACAGACAGTATCTAGGCAATTCTGTCTATCAATGCCATTATTGAGTACAACAAGCTTCATAGAAAAGGATTTGCATATGTAGAAGAATTTTGTTTGACTAGAGCAAATGATACATCATGAATCTGCGAGAATAGTATTTTTTTTTCCAATGACCACTTAAGCACGATAGAACTAGACATGGGCTAAAGTACACCAAGGTAGCACTTAGGACAAACAAGATTACTCAAGTTTACAATGACCACTGCCAAAAAATTTGCTTGTCTCTGCTGCAGCTAACCCCAACATGAGGATGACTATAGCATGCTGTCTCTTGCTCCCAGCTTGTGGTCATGGGTCAGTATTTATTATTTAATCATGATGGTTCTCAGATAAGCTGCAACATCCTAGGTTCAAACCACATTTCTGACCTGTAGAACTGCAACAAGATAACTCCCTTCACAACAGTTACTAATCCTACTGCACTAAATTCGTAGAAGCCTCGTGCTGAACGCAGAAAGACCAAATCAAAATGCTAGATTCGCCATGAATCCAAAATTCCCCCATGATATCTCTTCTCCCCACCGTTGAATCATGCTATCCATCTACAAAATCACCAAAATCCCCAGCCGCCGTCACCAAAATCCCCAGCCGCCGTTCCTCAGAAAGACCCTACTAAGATCCCAATAGACCCGTAAGGCCGTAACCTCACCCAGCGGATACCGATGGGGAGGAAATAGGACATAGAGGAAAGATCAGGGCACGAATCGACGAACCTGGTAAATCTGGAAGCGCAAATCGCAAGCTGGCCTCGGTCGAGTCGCCTCCCCTTTCTCTTCTTTTCAGCGTGTCTTTGACGAAGCTGTGGCGAGCAAGATAGAGGGGCAATAGTTGGACCTTTTCTTCTTTTAATTTATTTGATGACAAAATATAAAGGGATTTTTGGTTTCTCGCCGTTACAATTTTCCAACCTTTGAAAAACGCCATTATAATTCACGTTATTGTAAATTTGCCATTACAATTCTGCTTGTCCCTCATCCTTGTCCTTTTCTACGCCTGGAACGTACCTAAGCCCACTTGCAGGCGTCGTATTTGTGTTCTGCCCCGTATTGCCCTGGTTAAGTGGATAAGGCATTGAGGATTGAAGCTGGCATTCTCACCGTTCTTCTCTGTCCCTCCCGTGTTCTTCCCCTTTCTCCTGCGACAAACCCTAGCACTCGACTGGAGATGGCCGTGCGGCGATTGGAGGTGGCCGCGCGACGATTAGCGACGTTGGCTCTGGCTCCGGGTCGTTGACATCGGCGTTGGCAGGAGACAAACAGAGGTGCCCCCATTCTTCTCCCTTTTCTCGCGCACACCATTGCCGCACGTCGCCGTGCTTTGTCCGCGACTGACGCCCGCCTGCTTTTGTCCTGTGCCTTTGCCGCCTGCTGTTTCCCAGATAAGTGGCAGCCAATTTAAGGGAGGGGCAGCGGCATGCTCCAGCTCGGCGGCCATCCAGAGCCCGGCGCTGTTCCCGCTCGTGGACTGCCCAAAGTGCCGCATTCAGTTAGTACGTATCACAAGCAAGCAGCGAGAGACGTACGGCAAGACCTTCTTCAAGTGTCCAAACAACATCAAAGTAAGTCAATTTATTTTGTTCAATTTTGGATGGTGTTCATGAGGCTATGGTTTCATGTGATGCAGGATGACTCAACTACATGTCCTATCATCATGTCCGAGGCGTAGTATGAAGCTTACCTACGCAGCCCAGAGCAGCACCCAATTCGGTCGAAGAAGGTGATCCCATTCAATTCAGTAGATGGTGGACATGGGTCTATGGACCTCAGTTTGGACCTGAAGCAAGATTTGGAGGTAGTGAAGGCAAAACTTGACAGTGCTGTGATTGATCTGTGGGAGCTGAAGGTGTAAGTACAAGTTGTGAAGAAGGACTACGTTATTATTGCAGTAGTGTATGTAGTGTATGTAGGTGTAGCTATTGGTTGTCTTATGAGCAAAATATGGAAGTAGCCAGTGGTGTCGAATGTAGGATTTGAAAGCAGTCTGTGTGTTGCTTTTGTTGGTCAACTGATGTATGCCAGTAGCCAGACTGAAACTAAAATGTATTCTGTAATAGCTGCTTTCAGTTTGAAAATGTCTGAAATGTATTATGTAATAGCTGCTTTTAGTTTGAAAATGTATGTATGGAAATTCAGATTGAGAGTCCTTCAGTTTGACACATGTATTTCAGCAAGATAGAAGCATTGCTGGGATAATTAATAGGACAATAGCATTATTAAAATATATCAATAACTCACAGTAGCATCACTGAGACAATAACACTTCTGAGAATAGCATTAATTCACAGCTTGTTCAAGTTTTAAAGCACTACATCCAGAAAATGCCCAGCTTACAAGCATTTCAACATTCCCTGAGTAGTGTTTCATGAAGTTGTTGTACATGTGTCTCATGCACTCTCTGTTTTCAGCTTGTGGGAAAACAGTCCCTACAGTTTTCTCTAATCCTTTACAGACATCTGAATATAATACTAGTCCTGGTGGGTCTCCTATAACTTTGTGCAAATTCTCTAGGAACCACGTTCAGTTGTCCTCAGTCTCTGAGTAAAAAATGCCATATGCTATATGGTACAACCAGTTATGCCCATCAACACTTATTGTTGAAGCCAACTGTCTAGTATACTTTCCATGCTAAAAAGATGCACCTACTCCTATGAAGGGTCTACAACCAGCTAGGAATCCATCAATGCATGGCTTCAAAGCAACAAAAACCCTCTTGAACCTATTCTTGTCACCAATCTTCTCTAACTCTATCTGTACATGACTTCCAGGTGAAGTTTGTTCAAGTTGAGCAGACCAATTAAAAAGAAGTTGGAAGCTTTCCTCATACTTACCATGAATTTGATCTAAGGCAACCTTCAATCCAGACCACGCTTTTGAGTACTTCAGCTTTATTCCAAAGTCACCCTCTAATTTGCCTCTTGCATCCTTTGCTCCCTTAGTTGGATTCTTCTTAACTCAATCTCTAAACCTATCAGCACACCAGCCCTGAGTAGCCATTTTCCCTTCTTTAAGCCTGGTGGTAGGACAATTATGCTCTGCAGGAAGGACTTTGATCTACAAAAAGGCAGATAAACATATAAATGCATTTGCAAATATGTACATGATTAAAAAAGAATAGAACAACTAAAAAGATCTAGAAAAATGTACCTTTATAGTTTTTTTATCAAATATAGTGGAAGCATGTATTCTCCAAGGGCATCCCTCAGTAGCACACCTTGCTATAAATCTTGACTTGTCTATTTTGTAACCAACAGCAAAGGCAAACCCAGTCTTCACAGCATAGTGTCTTATTGCTTTCATGAATACAATGATATCAGTAAACAACTGCCCCTCCACTATTTTTGGGTTCTCAGGATCTTGTAGTACATGGACCTCCAGAGGGTCAGCATCATCCACCTCTGCCTCAACATGGACAAACTCATCAGATGGCTCAACATTGTGAGTTGTATCAGTAGTAGCATAAGTGTTAGCACTGTCAGATGACTTTGCAAACTGAGGAGCAGGTGGCACTGTATCATACATGCCCTCATCATCAACACCCACATATTCTTCAGCATTATCAAACATATCAGGCTCCCTATCTGGCTCTATGTCAGCAGCTGCCTCTGGATTCTCAGGAGCAGCACTATTGGGTTCTTTAGGCATGTTAGCAGCTACCTCTACTTGTCTATCAGGATCTCTATGTGCCTCTAACTGAACATTTGCATCATCAGCAGGAACCACACAGAGAGGCTCCAGTGCGTCAAATTCAGCTTCCACACAAATTGCCCTATCGAAAACACCTACTACAACCTAGCAGCTCATCTCCTCCTTGTACATTTCAAACAAATCAAGCATCTGTATCTCATTAACTAATCTGGCATCCTCATTCAATCTTTTGTCAAAGAACCAAACTGTTGGTGTCTGGTTACTACTCAGATTTAATTTAGTTGCCAAAAATTTCAGCAGCAAGTCAAGTGTCATGGACCCATAATCCACATTCCACTTAAATGTATGGCCTTTTGTGTATGATTTTCTACCAGCCGTGTCTTTGGACGCAAATCCTTCCACTTTAAACTCTACCGAAAACATGCCATCCCTACCATATAGTAAATCGAACCCCAAATCAAAGTGTATACATGCACGATACATCGATGCCACCACACAAATCAAGCCTAATCCCATACTGTGATGACCACAACAAGGCAAAGCAGGAGGAAAGGGTACCTGGTGGCGGTGTTCTCCATCGCAGCCGCACCAGCGCACGGCGTGCCCAAATCCGCTGACACCATCAGGCCGCCTCCATCGCCCCCACCGGATGCACGCTGGTTAGGATTTGTCGCCGTCGCCTCTAGTCGCAAGCTGACGCCTCAATTGCCGCCGACGCCTCCAAATCGTCGCCGCCAGAACATGGTTAGGGTTCGTTGGACAGAAGAACTGGAGTAGAGAGAAGAAAGGAACACCAGCTTCAATCCTGCCTTATCCACTTAACCAGGGGCAATACGGGTCAGTACACAAATACGACGCCTGCAAGTGGGCCCAGGTACGTTCCAGGCGTAGAAAAGGGCAAGGGTGAGGGACAAGCAGAATTGTAATAGCAAATTTATAATAACATGAATTGTAATGGCGTTTTTCAAAGGTTGGAAAATTGTAATGGCGAGAAACCAAAAATCCCAAATATAAAAGATGGGACGCCATTGCCGTGGGTGCCCGTACCTGACGCGGGTAAGGAAAATGGCAAGGCTAGGATGTCGGGGCACCGGGCGTCCGTCGTCGGTGCGCTGG